CCACCTGTTTCGTCATTTCTACGCAAGATAGGGGGTAAGTGTGATAAAAGCTCCGTGGAGTGCTCGTCAGTATTATCGTGGAAGCGATGGTTGTTCCGTTTGTGGTACGGCATGGATCGTGAGGGTATACAACCTCAGCAGATACTAGCCTTGAAGTCAACGTGGTACGTGAGGCGACGCTTTTCTAGATAGGTTGGAGGGCGTTGGGTACTGCTGTCTTCTAGATACTCTGAGCGTGCGGTTACCTGACGCCTAAGCACTAACGAAACGATTTTGCAGAGCGGTCTTGTTCGGTCGGCGCTTGGTGAAATTTTTGGGCTGTTGGATATTGGTATAGCTTTAATCGAGGTGGTAGTGGAAGTAAGTTTGGTAAGTTGGCTTATGCGAGAAACTTGGTTAGAGTGGGGGTCAGGCTGCATGACTTGTTAATGTAGCTATGGATTTGTTTCTAAGAGTGGAAAACGGGGTGTATTTGGAGATTTTGGATATATAGGAATTGAGAGTTTGATGTATGGGATTAGATTTATTGTGTAGAATAATTGTTGTTTAGGGAGAGCTATGGATATGTCGAGTTGATGCTCGGCGAGAGGCTTTGGGGGTAGAGGTTCTCCTTGATCCTACATTTACTGTATCGATATAAGCTTTTGACGTCTTTTAGTTGCGGTAAGTTTTTGGGAGCATCGTCAGGCCGACAGTAACATAGCACCAGAGTCCGGCACCATTGAAAGGCTTCGGTACACCTATGGACAGCACCAAACCCAGCAGTTATTAAAAACCCACCCATCTGGGCTATTCACGACGGATGAAAGAGGGCCCTAGAGAAAGAGATTAATACATTTCCTTGGGAAGCCCAAGTATGGAGAGTGACATACACAGCCCCCATGATGGCAATAACCCATACCGAGACATGGGGTTTTGTGATCGTGCTGGAGGAGCTCGCAGCTCACCCACTGGCTTTGTAGACAATTTGTCTCCTATGTATGCGGTAGTTAGCTCCGACTTATTGTACCAGGAGTGAAGGAGACTTGCATTGGGGTCCTCGGTTTCGCACGTGGTCTGTTGAGTGCAACCTTTGTGTCCCATTTTGCCCTTGTTGCACGCCGTTAGGGAGGCGAGGTAGAGTAGACCAAGAATAGACGTCTTCATGGTGGCAGCAGTTGGAAGATGGCAGGAATGATCGACAATGTTGGGTGGGTGAAGGGTTCTAGATTCCGAGGTAATAGGAACAAGTGGATGCAGGTAACGAGAACGTGGGACGCGACCGATTAATGTAAGTAGGCCTGGAAATTGCAGCACAGGTCACACCGGCTCCTGCTTGCTCGGGCCGCCCAAAAGCGCCATGTCAGCTTATTCCTTACCAGAGATGTCAACAAGCAAGTCAAGCTGGCTTGATTCTTATCGATTGCAGATCACAGACCATTCTCTGGGACGTGCCACTGTGCACGAGCCTCTATATTGTCTGTGATCTGCAATCGATAAGAATCAAGCCAGCTTGACTTGCTTGTTGACATCTCTGTTCCTTACGCTCAGCATCCAACCAACCTCATGTCTCCAACGTTGGGGAGGAAGTGTAGCGAATCAAAGGTGGGCCTGATAGTTAGGCCGGGAATTCATCTTTATACGAGGCTCTACACGAGCAATTGTAGCTGGTGAGTCTGTGAGGCGGTGAAGAATGCAACGTCGACTACTGTAGCGGGGATGATGCGCAGATTTCACTTCGAGGTAGAATGTCGATAGTTAGCAGAACAAATGTCAGGGCATTACCACAACGGATGGCATAAGCCGTGTCTACGCACTCCACGATTACAGCAGCTCAATCTTTGCGTTTCCAACACTTGTCTAACACGCATTTCGCAGAAGAAGCGAACGATCGTGATTGAAACAGTATGTCTACCCAACTCCGTATATAAAGGTACGTACCTGTGACCTTTTATACGTCTACAAGGTTCATTCTTCCCTCTCCTACCTTTTTCACGGGATAGAAAAGAGCAAAATCATAACAAGACTCCAGATAAGACAAGACCCAGCTCTACCACAGTATACATCCCCTCTCCATCTACACAGATAAGACGTAGACGACTCCATATATCAACATACCCGCAGACTTCCATTTCCCCTCCGCGACATCCTACCTAACACTGTTCGATACAAAGTAGATATTTAAACTACATTAGTCGAATCAAAATTAAAGAACAGAAACGTTGTAACTTTAAGCCACAAACTTAGCCCACGGTAGTATCTCCCACCATAAAACACCCTAAAGTCCTCCCTCGACCTCCAGACGCGAAGTGTAAACCAAGCCGTATGCTTTACAAACCACACACAGACTAAACCGGCTAGTACATCTACGAGATCTCGGGCCTCTTAAGTACAAGTCCGCGTTCTCGTACCTGTGTTATTAATTGCAGTTTCCTTGTTTCGACAGATAAGTGGGTATAGAATCCCAGCTTTTTTATAGTAGCAGGAATTATGCGGATGTACTTTGAACTTGAAATAGTGAAGTGATAACTGTGCGACCAAGTCGCGAAGACGATATTTCTGAGATACTTAAGTGTTCAATCTACGGGTTATGCAATGAAACACTGAAGAACTATTAATTACATGACTTTGACGAGAGCTCTACCGGGCTTGTTCACTCCTACCTATGTAGTGAATGGCTGTACTATATATCTGTTCTCTTCCCTTCCCTTTTAAATCCGGCTATTACATATAGTTATAGATACTCTATTTTCCAAACCTCTAGCCATGTCAAAACTACCTAGGTAGATAACAAATGTATAAATAGCGCACCCTTCTAACCTCGAAATTGAATTACACGCCTTACTACTATCCAGCTTGTTTTGAACTTCCTACTTCCCCACCTACCTACGCATGTAGACACCAACATCCAGACGTGCTTAGCGCCTCAATCAAGATACCCTAGATCAAAATTACCTTAGCCCGCATACTAACCTGAAAGACTAGCGAGGGTATCCCCGAAACTGACCTACTTCTCCTCGTTACAACCATGATTTCTTGTAACTATCAATCCTCCATGCCTAAGGGTATAGTAATTAGGTATCTTGTAAACTACACCCCTTTGTTCGTTCATCTCTCTATGCTTTCATTCTAAGCTGTTTCACAATCCCCAAGTGTACCATAACCTCTAACCCTCATACCCTTAACCTTTACCCCCCTCCCCATCTCCATCCCACTCTCACTCCCATCCCCCCCATCTCAACTCCAGCCTCATCCCAAACTCATCCCACATCCACATCCACCTCATTGCCTGGCAAACTATCCCCCAACCCAGCCCTACCCATCACAAAACCCACGCCAAGCCTGACCCAGCCAGCCTAACCCTTCCTAGCGCTTCCCGTGAACGAAACGCGGGCAAGCACGCACACCCCTACCATGACCCGCCAACCCAACCTCCATCCCCCTTACCATGCAGACTAAAGTACACTACACTACACCACGCCAACACGCTAGCACGCCACACAAGCCGGCGTATTTTTCCAAATACTATCCCATGTTTGCTTATCGATGAGCGGAGGGAGGGGAGGGAGGTTCTCAGAATATCTCAGGCAGAAAACGTAACAAAAAGGGCATTGATTAATAAACATAGCTAACAAGCTCTCACACCATCATGATTTGAGTAACTTAAGAAAATGTATGCGGCGGGTGGGTGCGCACGTCATGCTATATCTTAAGTAGAGAATGCGGGAGGCTATGCGATACTTACTTGCATGCAGTGACATTCTCAATCGTGTGCAGAAAGCCCGAGGTATCTCAGTGACGATAATGATAACAAAACCTACATAGCCAAGCGACATTCACACCCAAAGCACCTACACAAAAAAACCTACGCGAACACGAACAACCAACGCGCCTTAAAAGCGGCGACGCGTCCGTGTCCGAGTGGCGGAGCCCATTCCCCACGCCATCTCAAAGAAGAGACGTGACGAACGCCCAGACTGGTTTTCTAACAAACCCCAGCAACAAGCACCAATATCTCATCCCCATCTGCCTATATCACTAATATACATACCCGAATAAAATTCACTTCACTTGCCTTGCCGCCCTTGCATCTGCACCTGCACTTGTACGCACGTGTGAACCACCCCGTCTGCCAGCCCCTGCGCTAATTGTTTATCGGCCTAGCGGGTGGCCTCACAACGTGCAACCCAAGATTACGTGTGGATACCGCACCGCATGTGCAGGAAAAAAAATGCCCGAACAAATGGTACCTATGTTTCCATGTGGCTGAAGAGGGAAGGTAGCCTGGCTCATATCGCAATGGACCATCGCACATGTGATGTGTGCCGCGTTGGAAGGGGGGCTGGGTGGGGGTATGGGATCAAGTGCGTGTGTGCCATGATTGTAATGCTGTGTGGTGGTGTGTACAGATAGTGATGGAAGGAAGCGACATAGCCGTGATATATGTCAAGCCTAACAAGGCAATATAGCCGAACCCTGCATCTGCATCCTGGAGATCGACGCGAGCACGAGAGTTATAGGACGGGTTGACGATGGTGTGATAGCGACGGGGACAAGGGGGCAGGGTTCGGTTGTGAGAAATTTCAATCTATGTGAAACAGACGATGGAGGGGGACGGGCTCGGTTCTTCTGGAAGAAAAGCTTGGTAGTTGCGTGATATTGGCAGAGCGTTGTTGGGGTATGGTCGGATCGTCAGACGGTGGCCTCGTCCGGCTTTGTACATTTCAATATCGCACATATTAGCAGGGGCACTTGCTCGTGGCATAGGCCATTGGGAACTTTTCGCAATTTCGGTTGCACAATGGTTCGTCATTGATCGGTCAAGATTTTCTTTCTCTGAAAATTCTTTCGTCTATCCGATGCCGCGTCGGCACGAAGCCGTTGGGTTAAATGCATTGCTCTAGATTTTAGCAGATGGCAATAGCTGCCCAACCTCCTATACGTGATCCTTCAACAACTTCTCAATCTCTTCCAAATCCTCCGCGCTGTCGATCTCAATGATCCTTCCCACCTCGCTTGTGTTACGCATGAGCTCCTTTGCGCCGGCGTAGAGCATCTTGACCTCGCTGTTGCACGTTATCGGGAGATAGTAGAGCATGACGTATGGCACTGATAAGCGACCGGAGTCCTATGCATCTCAGTGTTTATCCAAGACAAAGGCCATGTATGGCGTACGAGTGTCAATGGGTAGCTCAAGAGCACAAATCGCGGTGCATGGTCGGGAAGCTCGTCGGCAAGACTTTGCACGTCGGAATAGACTTCGTCGTCTACCGGCCGTACCTCGAGCGTCTTCTTATCGATTTCGTCTGGGACGCTTAGGCATCAGCGCCATTGTATGGTATAGCCCGTTCGGCAGGTGCAGTGCCGCACAAGTAGTCGTAGGCATGAGAAAAAGTTGATTTGGGCGTACAGATGACTGCTTGTGGGTCGTTGGCGCGACTTGTTCCCAGGCGAAACTTGCGTAGTTTTGTCTTGGTCTCATCAGAGAAGGTGTAGAGCCTCGCCTCGGAGGACTGGACCCAAGCATTAGCGGTCTGTGGAGAAGGCGACAAAGGCAGTAGACGCTAGACTTGCCATGGTGAAGGAGGGTAGAGAAGACGGACGTTGTCGGTGATGGACTGACGTTCAAGGGTGGTGTAAGCTGTGAGCATACGGTAGCGGGGTTTGGCGGGGGACTCGGACAGGACATGACGCTAGCGGCATAACTCCAGATCCGCCACCTGCATCCATCTCATGCACCTTCACTTTTGTGGAAGTCATTCTCTCAGCATTCCAACGTCCTTGTACTGACTGAGACACGTCTTCTGATCCATGTTTGGAAGAGTAAACCAGGTTGCTAGACATCTGTCTCGTCCACTGCCCAAGTTTGCGCATCGACCCGCGGCTTCATTTCGCCAATCGATAACGTCATCAGTCATGGCTTCAGCACAACAAAAGAGCTTGATCAATACGGCGGCATGCCTGATCATCGGAGACGAAGTGCTTGGGGGAAAGGTAAGTCGACTAGGGCGATAGTCGTATAGCAAGTATTGACAGCTGACGTGAAACTTAGACAGTCGATACGAACTCGGTACACGACTCAAGCGGTTGGTAATGGCAGGTCAGCTAATGTTTCACAGGCATACTTTGCCAAATTCTGCTTCTCATTGGGCATCAACTTGCGGCGCATAGAAGTCATTGCCGACGATGAAGGCGAGATTGTCGAAGCTGTGCAACGCATGTCGAAAAACTACGACATGGTGGTTACCAGTGGCGGGATTGGACCGACGTGAGTTGAGATAGTCGCTACACCAGACAGCGGCTGAGCTAATGGCGTCCAGTCACGACGACATCACGTACCAGTCGATAGCCAAGGCGTTTGACCTGCCATTGAAGCTACATGACGCGGCTTTTCAGCGGATGAAGCGCTTGTCCAAGCCCCACAAGTCTCAGCCTGACTTTGACTGGAACGTGGACTCTCCTGCGCGTACAGCAAAGATGCGCATGGTGCAACTACCAATTGACGACGCCGTACCTGACGAAGACCAGGTCGTGTTTGTCAACGAAGCGCTGTGGGTGCCGGTTAGCGTGGTGAATGGCAACGTTCACATCCTGCCCGGGGTGCCTCGGCTGTTTGAATCGTTACTGGATGGACTGAAGCCCCGCATCCTGCCCAGGTTGACGGATCCAGAGGGCAAAGGTGTACTGCGCATTCTCATCTCGACGCCAATGGCGGAGAGCGCCGTTGCCGGCTATTTGACAGAGCTGGCGGCCAAGGCTGAGCCCAAGGGAGTCAAGATTGGTAGCTATCCACGATGGGGCAAGGATCACAATACTGTGACGCTTGTTGGCCGCGATCGTGAATATATGGAGAGTCTTGTGCCTGAAGTGGTAAAGGCTGTTCAGGGGAAGCGCGTATATGTAGAAGGCGAGGATGACAGTAATACGTCTGACAAGGAGTCGTAGCGGGCGAGCGAGCTGAAGCCATACTTGATAGTTGTAGTCATACCAGAAACTCTAAAAGATGGAGAGGCCGAGTCGGCCGACGCAGGGTCGGAGTGGGCGTAGTGTTATGCTAGACTGCTTCTCGAAGGTTTGTAGAAGGCGTGCCGTGTGCGACTGGGCTGGCTGGCTGGCTGGCTGGCTGGCTGTTGCAGACCCTGGGACATGTCTAGGCGAGTAGATGGTAGTATAATAACAGAAAGAAGAAGATTTTGCAGATTCAGTTCAGGTTTAGATTTCCAATATCAAAATGTCACGAGATAGTGATATGTGACCAAGACATTGACCAAGCGTTTATGGCAGGATGGTGTTGATGGGGAAGCGGTACAGTGGATGCGTGGAGAGGTTTCCCTGGCACTGGTACCCGCGCGACCCCGCTCGTGTTAGATAGTTGCAGTTGGTGTGCTTCCACTTCTGCGTGCTGAGGGTGCATTGCACTTTGGCGCCCGCGTCCGCACCCGCACGTCTTGACGGTCACATGCACGGGGTGACGACAGATGCATCACGACAGATGCAGGCAGTCGTGGGTACATGTAATGAATTGTCCAACATGTCAACGTCTTTGGCGCGCCCCCTTCCTATCTTCCCGAACCCCTTGTGCACAGTAGTGGTTCGCGGGAGGGCAGGCTGCACGCCGTGCCCCATGGCTCCGGGCGCTGGGATCGCATGGAAGCGTCGGGCGGTATATCTCGACAGACTATGCCGCCGCTTTTGCGCTATCACGGCCGCCGCTCAGCACGGGTGAGGGTTCAATGTCGCGACGGCGACGGCGGCGGCGACGGCGACTAGGCTACAGAAGACTACGACGAGCGTTTGGACACTTTTGGGGGCAAGACGTTCACATTGCAGGACTTTGCAGGGCTTGCAGCAGCCCCAAGGGTGGTGGGTCGGCCGCTGTTTGTCGTGGGCGTCCGTCCTCTTTCGTTGGAGGCGTCGGCCAATGCACAGCGCTAACGGGGGCGCCAGTCGCCAGTCAGAGCCCATGTGCTCTTAGCAGCCTTCCAAGGCTCCTCCTTCAAGGCCCCAGACCAGCGACCGGAGCTACAAGGTCGTTTTTGCTACCCGGGTGAAGCTGCTTTCTCCATCCAGTGCTCTCTGCTCCCCCCGTCCCCTTCCCTTCTCGTCCCAAGAAGCCTGGCCCCATTTCATACTTCACAACCAGAGGCTTCGATAACCGTCATCACCACCACGCTTCTCACGCTTCACGCTTCACCTTCACTTCACCCTCGCCCTCACGCTTCACCCACCCAAGCAAGCACCACGCACCACGCACCACGCACCACGCACCACGCACCACGCACCACGCACCACGCACGTCCATCGCGCCTGCTGCCTTTGCGCGTCGTCGCATCGTCGCCACACGCAAGCCTCCCTTGATCGCCCCCAGCACCATCGCTCCTTCCTCCCGCCTCCCCAATTGCCCGTGACTGAGCTCGGCCTCATCCTCCCTCCCAACATTCAACTACTACCCTAATAATACCCACACCTTTCGCTCGTCTTCTGTTGTAGCATCCGCGTCTACGTCCGCGTCCGCCACAACAACTACTCACATTCACAATGGCATCAAAGGTACTTGCCGCCGCTCCTTCTCTCAGTCTCGGTCGCTAACCCGCCCTAGTTTCTCCGAGAATATAAGCTGGTGGTCGTCGGCGGTGGTGGAGTCGGAAAGTCGTGTCTGACCATCCAGCTGATCCAGAGCCACTTCGTTGATGAGTACGACCCGACGATTGAGGGTGAGTAACCCTATAGCCCCCCGACACGCGGCGCCGTGTGCAACATGAACTAACATATTCGCAGACTCGTACCGCAAGCAGTGTGTCATCGATGACGAAGTCGCCCTGCTCGATGTTCTCGACACAGCCGGCCAGGAGGAGTACTCTGCCATGCGCGAGCAGTACATGCGCACAGGAGAGGGCTTCCTCCTCGTCTACTCGATAACCGACAGGCAGAGCTTCGAGGAGATTATGACATTCCAGCAGCAAATCCTAAGAGTAAAGGACAAGGACTACTTCCCCATGATCGTCGTCGGCAACAAGTGCGATCTCGACGGCGAGAGGCAAGTTTCGACACAAGGTGCGTACATGTCTCACACCCCCCTTTGCCACATGCGCCTATGCTGACCCGCGTCCACAGAGGGCCAAACCTTGGCGCGGAACTTTGGCTGCAAGTTCATCGAAACATCAGCGAAATCGCGCATCAACGTGGACAACGCTTTTTACGACATCGTTCGCGAAATCCGCAGATATAACAAGGAAATGTCATCATACACAGGCGCCCCTGGCTCAAACGGCAACGGCCCTCAAAAGACGACGTTTGATACGGATGACCAGGCGGAGAAGAAGGGATGCTGCTGCGTAGTAATGTAAGCCGAGGGGACAGCTACCACATGTTGTTTGCGTAGGCTGTAGAGAGATACCTACACCGCTCGGTTCGGTCACCCCCGCCCTGGCCATTGGCGGTGCTGCTGGGAACAGCAGAAGAAAACACGCGATACCACTATTACGTACTGCCCGTCCGCCTCCGCTTGACGGCCTCTGCCATCCCATCGCTTCTTCTTCTTTTTTTGACTTTTGTCACTTGGGTTCGCATTACGGGGTCAACGGATTCACGTCTGCTGGATGCGCCTCCGATCACACACACACTCCCCTTACACTACTGGCATCCAAGTTTCCATCTTTCCCATCTGGCGGCGATTGTCGTAATCCGCCTTCATCTATCTAGACCGATTTCATCATGGCATTCTGATCGGTACATTGTATTTCTCCTCTTGGCATGCCTTGCGAGGCCTTCCAACGCGGTGCGGTGCGGCATGCTTCTGGGAGTCAAAAGATTTTCATCGTTCCTTTGACAGTTTCTCTAGGGTTGTTTAACTTTTTCTTTTTACCTACCTTCTATGAACATAATTTCTCTCTACTCACCGCAATCCTTGCCGCCTTCCATACGCGCCCATGTCCCGTCGTCACACACTCCTGGCGCTTAAAACTTGAGACGCATGCAAACCGTTCATGGGTTTATTTCGCGTCGCGCTCCGCACCCTCCATCATGATTTGTGTGTTATTCAGATTGCCAGCGGGCTTCCCTTTCTTGCTGTAGCTCTCAAACAGACAACATGTCCAAACACACAGGCTTTCGCAAATGCAGTGATGATGACATGTATCTAAAGCCCCCCATTTTATTCTTCATCACCTTGGTGTTGCGACGATTCATCAAGTCCGTTCAGGCCTTCTGTCGCTACTAACAGCTACATATCCACACTACGCACAAACGACCGTTCCAAGCCACATACTCGGAGCGTGTGGTGTTGTTGTTCCGTCGTGAGAAAGGAGGGGAATCCCCGTCGATCAGATGCACCAGCGATGCCGGCAGCCAGGCCTGTCCAACCAGTGAGCAAACGAGCAAACATGGAGGGCATGTGGACGCGAGCGCGGGCGACGGTTGCCATGATCGATGAGTGTAGAATAGGCCCGATTGCAAACATGTTTTCTCCCCGTCTTGGTGGGAGTGGGTACAAGTGCCGATTTCGGGTTCACGTGAGCGTGTGTGTGAGCGTGTGTGATGGGATAGGATGACATGGGATGACATGGGATGAAATGGCATAGGGTGGCTGGGATTGGGATGGCATGTGAGATTTGTAGATCGTTGAGTGTTTGGGAGGGGCGGAAGGGGGAGAAAAGGAACGCGCATCAGATGCGCATCGGATGTCCGTTCGCTGGGTACGTCAAGGTAGGGGGGTTGTTTTTTCCCGCCTTGGCTCTGGCTTTGGCTTTGAGGTTCTCCGTGCATGGAGATGTGTGTGTGTGTGTAGGGGTAGCTTGGAACATCTAACATCTATGTAAGTATCTCGTATCTATGTCTACAACTACACTCGAAAAAGACATCGTTCCCAAACATCGCTCCCCAGACATCACACACATTTTTCTCTTTTGCATATGCACATGCCGATTTTTTTCATCCTGACCATCATCTCACTCACTCCCTGGTTCGACTTGCCCTGTCTTGTCTTACCTTGCCCTGCCCTTGGCGTTGCTTACTTGGTATACTTACGCCGCTTTAAGAACCTGGCGAGGACGGGTGTGGGATAAACAAACCCAGCTTTCTTCCAGCCAACCGGGTTGTGGAGTCGAAGTCGGGGGCCCGACAGTTTGGATATTCATACATCACTTTCTCAGAGTCTAGGTTGGGAGAGGGTGGTAGAGAAAGCGTGCTCGGTAAGTTGGTCGGTTGGTATCAGAGTCCGCAACAATCAAGCGATAGGCAGATTGATTACCGGATTAGGCCTCGAAAGATCACTATCTGGTCCGTGACAGACCTAATCAGGTAATCAATCTGCCTATCGCTTGATTGTTGCGGACTCTGGTTGGTATGTATTGTAGATCAGTAGGATCGGTAGTTTAAGTCGGAGAGGGAGGGTAAGCAGGGTAAGTCAAAGGGGTAGCACACGTAATCGACGTTTTGTTGTTATTGGTTTTTTCGTCTTGGAGTGGGGGGGTAGGTAGGGGTGAGTGGGTGTGTATGTAGCTCATGTCCTTTGTGGTCTGCGGTGTTGGCTAACTTGGAATGGAATGGGTTTTTTGGTTTTTTGTAAGGTTGGGTAAGGATACACCATGCAAGATTTGGTATTGCTAAAAGAGGGATATTGGTTAGTTATTAATGATGTTTCAGGGACGGTGAAAAGGCTTAAGTGGGAACCTCGTTCGGTATTCTTGCATCCTCCCAAAGGGGAAAATCTTGGAAACATGGTAAAAAGTATTGTAGTCCGAACACGGAGTTCCGTAGACCGTCTTTGTTTTGTTCCAAGAATAGCTCGCTCGCTCTACCTAACTCACGGAGCCGGATTCGCTTATGCACGATTGATATTAGCGAGCACGAGCGAGATACGAGCACATGCACTTCCCTTTCCATGATCTCAACCTCTTTGTACATTCACATTCACATTTACATCTACCCTAACTATACGTTATTCCTAATAAGAATAGGCGGTAGCTCTGTAGGTACAGTACCCGGGACACGTAGGACCACGACACTGCACTCAATACATCAATAAATCTGCAAGCTAGCTGCAAGTAAGATCTCATATCTCAATCCCCATATCGGTTAGCCATGCCATGCCACGTGGCAATGCCATCCCCTCCTTCCCTTTCGTAAGACTGACGTTTGTGAAAATCCGTACATATGCATGCAGCTCGCTAATTTCAGTCGCACCGCACATGCGCCATCGGCCCGGGCCTGGTTGTAGTTGGGGGGTTTTTTTGGTAGCCGATCGGGGGTTTAGCTCGGGAAGACGTCAGTGTGATGGTTGGTTGTTGTGTATGTGCTCCGCGGAAGTAAGGAGGGATGAAGGATGGTGGAGGGTGGAGATGGATTGTTGAGATGTTAGGGGTTCTTATTTTTGTGAGCCGAATTCCTGCCGCACGGGTTCCTGGGTATGTGTCATTCATTGGGTGAGATTTTTCCTTCGTTTCTCGGTGTCTTGTTTCTCTTCACCACCTCTTGCCAAGCAGTGAAAATGGACGAGTGTTGGAAGGTCTATAGCACTAGTGCTGAAAGGAAATAACGATAACTAGGAATGCATTCTGTTCGGTGATGGTGATTGATTTATTTACGAACATAGCTGCTACGAAGGTATACCTAAGCTCTGCGCAAGGTGGGCCGAAGTCGGGCCGAAGTGTCCAGCAGCCGACGTCTCTACCGATACTCACGATCCGACAACGAGATATATTTGAGGGACTAGGATATATTATATATGTACTAACATCAATAGATCTATTAAACTAATAACTCGCTTATACATCACTACCCTCACTCTTAACCCCACCTCCCTCCTTCTCCACCCCCTTCTCTTCCCTCTTCTTCTCCCTATCCCACTCCCTCTGCTCCCTCAAAAAACCCTCCTTCCCCTCCAGATACCCCTCCTCCCCCTTCACCCTCTCCCACACGCCCCTAAAAACAGCACTCGCCTCCCTCTTCTCCCTCATCCCCTCATGCCCCTTACTCTTTTCCAGCTCCTCGCCCGTGGCTCTATTATACTTTCTCCCGCCCGCATGATTCGCATACCGCATAGCGCGCGTCATGCCCATCTGCAGAAACTTGCGCGCCATATCCATGCCAACAAAGTCGCCGGCGTCCCTATATTCGACGTATTTGGCGTAGATGTCTGAGGACGACTTTTGGGCAATGGGCACGGTTTTGAAGCGCCAGAGGGGGAGTAACTCGGATTTGTAGGGCTCGAATGTTAGGACGCTTTTTTCGCCGCGGCCGATGCGGTAGGCCATTCGTTGGGCTTTTGTGAGGGGTTTGGATGGCATGGCCGAGGGGGTGGGTTTGGAGGGTTGGGGTTTGGGATGGATTTTGTGTTGTGTTGGGAGATGAGATGGTGCTGAAGGGTGGTGGTTCGCGTGGTTGGATGACGTAGTGTATTCACGCTATCGACACGCGATCACGTTCTTTGTTGCGCACTGTCTTTAGAGCACTAAATGAATCGGTGTCTCCCACTGGAAACTAAGAGGGGAGTTATTTGATAGAGAAAAATAGAACGCGTACTAATCGCTAGATATCTTACACCACGAGGGGCTGGTCGTGCGCTTGTAGCCGTGCGTTTGAGGCGGTTGGTTTCAGCATATACATACTCATGCGATATATACAGATATTGGTATGCAGTGAAGTTGTAGCCTGCCAGACGAAGCGTCGTATATTCCCACCTGGTCCGTTTATGTGTAAATTGCTTGCGCCGAACCTCCTGTTATTGATTGTCGTCCTTTCCCCAAGGCTGACATATGGTCTTCTCGACTCTTTGCATAATGGACAGCCTTGGCTCTTCCTCGTCGCCCTCCTTCTGTACGCCTAGTACTTGTCCGATCAGCCCACCAGGCTTCGGCACCGGACACTCTCTCCTGGCCGCAAGTTTCTCCTCAAGTAACATCCTCCGCCGTCGCTCCTCTCTCATGATGTCGTTGCATGTCTCATCTTCTGGTAACTTCCGCCTCCGTCTCCTCCTTTCTCCCGTGGGGTCTGCGGAGTCGGCAAGCGTGCGCGGGTCCACTGGACACGGTATGAGATGTGGTGCGGCAACAACCAGGAATGAGACCATGAGAGTGGTAGTAAAGAGCGAAGTCGTCATGCGCGACCGCGGATGGAGGTGAGGAGGCATTTTTATGTGCGGGTTGAGAATTAGAGAGTGGATTGCCGAGGCATTACTGGGCCTATCGAGATATCAGTCGCTTTTCGTAGACTCAAAGTCGCTGGAGACGAGCATACTGTGTCAATTGATGCGCCTCGAGCAACTGTGGGTGTGGGGGAGGTGCAGACGCGGGGTCGGGGGTGGTGATGGACTTTTGGTGGAGTGAACATTGACGACGACAGCCAAGCTAGCTGCACGTCCAAGATCCCTGCACGTCGGCATGCCCGCAGTGGGTCGCCCAGTCCTCTACATCACAATCATACTGTCGACAAACAAACGTACACAGCATTATATCGCTTGGTAAATACAGCCTAGAATTCGAGAGACAGCACTACGCGAATATTGGATTCACAGCCTTGCAATCTACAACGCATCATACGCGTATCGCCACCAACGACATAATTCGCGCCGACGAGTTTCTACCCTCTCAATAGCTATCAAGGTAACGGAACGATTGAATACCTGGTCGTGTCACAAATACCTTCGCCACCTTAGAAAGCCCCGTGCGGGCACATAGGGCATATCGCTACAATGAGTGCAGGTGGTAGCGACCTCGACAAGTATGGATACACACTCAGTCTAGTGGAAATCGCGCAAAGCAAGGGACTGACTTGCATCGCAGAGCCATCCAGCAGCTCCGCGCATGTCGTCCGATACCCGAAAACCAGGTCCGAGAGCTATGCTACAAGGCACGCGAGCTGCTGATTGAAGAAGGTAATGTAGTAGGCGTGGATGCGCCCGTGACGGTATGCGCCCCGCCAAACTCAGATTATGGATATAACTGATCGCATGCTTTTCTCAGATATGCGGTGATATCCATGGACAGTTTCATGACCTCATGGAGCTATTCCGCGTTGGTGGAGACGTGCCAGACACAAACTACCTATTCATGGGTATGAGATAGCTCTTGTCACGCCACCAAACACAACCGCTGACTACTATAGGCGACTTTGTTGATCGCGGTTTCTACTCACTCGAATCTTTCCTCCTCCTCTTGTGTCTCAAAGTCCGATACCCAGACCGCATAACGCTCATCCGAGGCAACCACGAATCACGGCAGATTACAACAGTATACGGCTTCTATGATGAATGTCTCAGGAAGTATGGAAGCGCAAACGTATGGAGGTAGGTTTTGGATATATCATGCACTCTTCTGAAACAGCGCTGAGAATCCCAGGTACTGCTGTGAAGTCTTCGACTACCTAGCCCTCGGCGCCCTAGTCCAAGGTGCTGCGACATCTCTCCAACCCACCGATGGACCTATCGCAGACAGCAGCAACGCCGACAGCATGCCTGATATCGACCAGGATATCGAGATCGAGACCCTCAACGCCAATGGCGAGATCATGTACCGCTATGCACGAAATTCCGACTCCCAATCCAGTGCTGCTTCTCAGGTCAGCGCAAACATGGGTTCCTCTTCTCCCGTCGCCCCAACGCCTGGACGTGTCGGACCAGCCGGTACGGGCGCAACCTCGTCCGCCAACGGCTCATCTCGCAACGACACAGGGGCCATTTTATGCGTGCACGGCGGTCTTTCGCCCCTCGTCGACTCCGTTGATAAGATCAGACTCCTCGACCGGAAACAAGAGGTGCCTCACGAAGGAGCCATGTGCGACCTACTTTGGTCAGACCCCGATGAAATTGACGGTTGGGGCTTGTCACCGCGCGGTGCAGGCTTTTTATTTGGTGCAGATATTGTCAAAACATTCAATCACAAAAACGACCTTAGCCTCATCGCACGAGCCCACCAACTCGTCATGGAGGGTTTCAAAGAAATGTTCGATTCCACCATCGTCACCGTCTGGTCAGCGCCAAACTACTGCTACAGATGCGGCAACGTAGCCGCCATCCTCGAGCTCGGCGAAGACGGCTCAAACGCCGGTTTCCAACGGCGATCAAACGGCGACCGAGCCGGTGGTGGTGGCGGCTGGGTCCTAGGCTCCAACGTCGGGCCCAACGGCGAGCGTAGACTTAGTTCCATGCTCAACGATAGTTTCCAGAAGAACAGAGATGGCCCCGGTCGAAGGTATCGTGTCTTTGAGGCGGCGCCCCAGGATTCCCGTGGCATGCCGGCCAAGAAACCGGTGGCCGATTACTTCCTTTAGGACAAGGAGAGTAGGGATAAAAGCGCGGCGAGAGAATTGGGTCTCATGAATGGCCCTTTTACGAATTCCTCTGTGCGCGGTTCCTATAACAAGTCTGCTGAGTACTTTCTTTGAAGAGTGTTGGGCGTTCTTTTATGGAACGTTGGGGGCGGGTTGGGTTCATTGTGTAGGGTCTGCTGTTGATATTCAGTTGTAAAGATGAAAAGACTTGAGTGGATACCCATATTATGAAGTATTTTACTAGCTCTGGTCTCCTCTTCCAATATGCCCACACCTGTTTTTGAACCTTGCGATGACTGGTTGGGGAATAGCGTGTTACTACGTGTAGTCGCTCATGTATTGAACTATGGTGAATCTTGTACCACTACAGACATGAATGGAAAGAAACGTGGTTGCTTGACTTGCCAAAACTGACAATGTACAAAACCACATGTATCTAACCGTAAATGAGAACAAGTTAGAAAGGGTATCTTCCCCAAGTCCCCTATATCCCCTTTTAAACCCCTAAACCCATCAACTCAACCAACCCCACTCCCCTCAAACCTCCCTGCCCCCCAACCCCTCCAACCGCCTCCTCACCATCCCCACATCCCCCCTCCCCCACTCATCCCTCCAACACCTCAGCACCTCCTCCCTCATAACGCGCCTCGGCGCCCTCTTCCCCGTAAAAAGTTCAAATTGTGCGAACCCCTGCTCAGGCAACAAATCCAATCCATCGAGACAAATCCACGATTTACCCGCTTCCTCGCGCACCTGGCGCGTCAACGGCGTGTTAAGCGTGCGGTACGCAAGTTCAATAACTACGCCGCCAGAGGGACTCTGCATCCAATGGCGGGGTAGCGTGAACGCCGGAGCAGGAGCGGGCGAGCTGGAGGCTGATGTAGCGATGGGGTGTGTAGGTATACAAGAGACGATTACAGTAGCTGGTTGCGTTGCAGGTGGCCAAGGGGAGGTAGGATGTGGGAGGATAGTAAACGTAGGCGGGATATTAGATTGAACGAAAGAAGGGAAGAGGGAAGAAGCCGTTGGACTAGTTGTGAGGTGGGTGAAGTATTCTACTAGTTTCTCTGCGTTGGTCAAGGTGCGGTTGTGGATGATGATGTGTTTGATTCCTAGTTGTAACATTGCGTAGATGGCCGCTCGTGCCATGCCGCCCGCGCCGATGACGAGGCCGGATGTTGTGGAAGGACGCACGGCGTTGGCCGGGGAAAGTCCGCGTCGGATACAAGACCGGATTCCGATCCAGTCGGTGTTGTCTCCTAGTAGGGCCTTGACAGGACCGGATTGGTTTCGTTCTTTGTAGAGTTCTACGCCGTCGGCCGAGGGAATGCTGCCGTCGGGGTTGAGATGGCGAATGGGGAGGAGTGTGTTTATTGCACCAATGGCACGGGCGTGCCGGGTTAGAGTGTGAGTGAGGGATATAGCGGCGACTTTGAAGGGCTGGCTGATAGCTGTGCCGCCGAAGTTTGGGCGGAGGAGCATTTGGCGGACTGAGTCGTCGAGGGTTGTGGTTTGCAGGAGGGAAAAGTGGTGGGGCATGCCGCAGGCTTGGTAGGCGGCGTTGTGCATGGCTGGGCTAAGGCTGTAGGATACGGCTGCGCCGATGATGTAGAACTCCATTGGGTCGTATGTGAAGGAGGCGTATAGGATGTGTGTAGCTTCTGTTACGGTGAGCCACGAGGTTTCGGGATTTTGCTCCGCTCTGGATTCGAAATCTGAGAGCTTTCTCAACTTTTCTGGTATCACTGGAGTGAGGACGTTGTTGAAGCATGCGGAGCGACGTCCGGCCCGGCCTGTGTTGTAGCATATCATTGGTATTCGTTGAGACTTTGCAAATATGGTGTTACGGAAGGATTGAATAGCAGCGTTGTCGTCCATGAAGTTGGCGGGACGAGTAAAGCGGACCAGACTGCAGCCCAAACGCATTGCTGTGTCGTACTTTTCGAGCCAGAAGACGTCATACCAATCCATTGCCGCGTGTAGGTGACCGATGATTTTTGTTGAACCTCTTGAAGCTACAATCGCTCGGATAAGCTCTTCGTCCATTGTTAGGTCTACAGTGGCAAATTCAGGCGCCATGCGTAGGCCATACCACATGTTTGCGAGGTACGATGTCGTCGAGTAGCTCGAGTTTGCTGGAGGCGGCATGGCGTGGTATATTATCGGAGTTACCGTGCTTCTCCTGACTCTGAAAATACTCTTGCTGATATCCTCTGCATACTCTGCCGTGAGCTGTGCAGGTTTGACAACAATCTCGAACGCGTCGCAGCCAAACTCGATTTCCTCAATGTCGACATCCTCAGGGGTAAGATCTGAAAGCTGCACTTGAACGGCACAAGTGTAGTTTCTCAGTTCTAAATCGACATAGGAGAGCGGAAAGTGGCCTGGGTCCAGCGTAGGTGCGTCGTTGAGCTCGCGATGTGTGTTTTGCGGAGATAGGATTAGAGCCAGAAATTTGAAAAACGTTCTCTCTGCTCTTTTGAGTGTTAAGAAAGCGGGAACGGATGGCTGATGTGCAGGAGCAACTGAGAGATGTGCAGCATTGGTTTCGGAAATGTTGTAGAACTCGTAGTTTGAACACCGTCGGAACACCGGGGTACTGAGAGCGAGCAGTTCCCGGACTTTGGATTCTTCAGTATCGAGATACTTTTGCACACTTGCAAGGTCACGTGTGATGTGAATGACCGGGTGTGATGTTGAGAATTCGCGAAGAAGGGCTTGGCTGCTATTGTCTAAAGGAAAGCTTCCATTGCAAACGATGATTGCGCCTTTGCTGTGAGTTTGGAGTGTATCGCGGAGGACTTCTTCTTGTCTGAGACTCCTATTTGATGACCCAAATTGCTTTCGATATGCGGTTGTTGAAAATCCAGTCGCACTTTGGAATACACTCTCCATGTCTATCACCCTTCTCTGGGTGGCTACCGAAGCCATCATAGCCAATGTTGCTTTGCCGGTCCCATGCATCCCGAGAAGTACTATAGACGCTCTCGGGTCGAATATTCTCCGACATTCATACTGTGCCGGTCCTGGTGTTGACCTTGCCGAATTTGGTAGACTTCGTTGTTTGGAGGCCGGCGGAGACGGCGTTGGTAGTGAAGCCCGGCCATCCTTGGTTCTGCTGTCGCTGCTCATGGTGGCAAATGTGCGTTTTGTACCAGCCGTTGCGGAGACCATGGCTTACAGTATCGCAATTCGAATTCGTGATCAAGACGTGTCGACAGCATTGACAGAGCGTGCTAACATTGGCAGCGACGGTGTCTTAGCGAGCCACGTGACAGCGGCAATCCCCGCTTTTAGTCGGGATAAAACTTTATCCTGCTTCCTCAACTTTCCCCACACTACTCGAGTCGGTCAACCCATGGCTTCGTCAGTAAGGAACATTCTTGGAACATGTCTAGACACGCAGCATCCGAATGAACGTCAGTTTCCTCTGTTGGCAAGGCTTTTTGTAGAGCCAACGTGCTTTCTCGCGCAAAGCACTTCCTATGCCAACGCAAAACCAAGAAAAACGCCGTTTGGCTTCACAAGATGGCCCGGTGAAACGATTCAGGGTTTCAAGGGCCTGTGACCAATGTCGAACTGCTCGCGAAAAATGCGATGCGAACCAGCCGACTTGCATGCCATGTGTCGAGAACAAGCGGACCTGTACCTACACCTCAACACCCAAGAAGCGTGGATTACAGCCCGGATATATACGCAGTCTCGAGATGACGTTGGCTTATGTCTTTCAACAGAATCCTGAAATGGAAGTCTTGGCGTACAATCAGTTAGCCCAAATCAATACCGTATTGCTTGCGAGGGGCACGAAAGAGTCCAATCAATTGCACAAGAGCTGGAATAAGAGCAGGTTCTGCAGGGACGTTACCAAAGCTTTATCTGGCGAGCTGATAGGGACGGGAAATGATAGGCCACCGAGTTCTGATGAGGATAGCGAGGTCGATACGGAGGATGCGAGTCTTCTCCGTATGACTGCAGATACTCAATCGTATTCATCGGTAAGAACATGGGAGGAAGAATGTTCACAAGCGCTAACACTAATAGACTTCATGGAACAGCGGTACAGGGTTCACGCCACACGTTATGGCTCCACCATCACTGCCTGACCTCTATGCCCAGCATCCACAGGACAATCTGCGCCCACCAAAACTCACCCCGCTGCCTTCGGAATGTTGGAAACTCATTGAAACATATTTCACATATACACAATGTTGGCTTCCTATTGCAGATAAACTGGAAGTTTTAAAGCTATCTTACTCATATCCTGAGCAGGGACTGGCTCTTGCTTGTGATATGTCCAGCTCCGGGAGTCATGCTGAAATGTGGAGCATACTTGCAGTTGGCGCTACTCAAGAGGACTACAGTTTTGCGGGCGAGCATCGTCCAAACGCGTCACCTGAAGAACTTTACAACACTGCCAGACTTCTTATTCCAAATGAGTTGGGAAAATTCGAGCTTGATCATGTCAAGGCTCTCCTCAATCTTTCCGTGTTCAACATTAGCAGGGGCTTGTTTGGGGCTGCTTGGCAACTTGTTGGTGCTGCGTTGCGGATCTTTTTCACACTGACCGAATCCTCGGAGGTGATTGTGCCGCGCCGAAAGAATGTCTTATCGAGCTGTTTCATGCTTGATAATCTACTTTCTCTACAGTTGAAACGTCGCCCGTATCTTGAAAGAGCAGATCTAGGGTGGATAGGAACAATAGAGGAGGACGGTATGGAGGAATGGCAGCCCTGGGTTGGCCAACTTAGCCTCGGCATAACGCGACAGTCAAATTCACCAACACTAGCATTGAGTTCTTTTAATGCTTGTCTAGAGCTCGTGGATATCCTTGGGAGTACGACACGGCGGCAGACAGCACCAAACTTCCTTCACGAAATGATCAGTCGCCTTGAGATGTGGAAGTCCTCGCTACCACAAAAACTTGATCATATCCGTAAAGACGCTACTGCTACTCCTCTGACACCACCTGCGTTGCTGCTGCGACTTACATATCTCGTCACTGCTTTTGCTCTAGTCCCTTCTCAGGCCTGGTTGGATCAAATATTAGACGTATTGAGTACACTAGAGCGCCTCGGTACTTCACGAGCCCCTCCCATAATCGCTTGTCTATTACAGCAGGTTAAGAGAAGCAGCTTGAGGTTGACTTTGGACCAGATGACACACGCTCGGATGTGCAGATCGTTGGTGGCCTTTGATCAGACGTGCAAGGTCTCCCAAGACGCAGTCAACAATCTGCAAACAACACCGCACTCCGTGGAAGATGCTTCACCTAGCGCGTCTGGCATGATGCAAACATCTCCACAATCCTATGCGTCTCAAATTGGTGGACCCTTTCCAGAGCGCTTCCATCAACAGGCCGTTACATCTTCATTACTCGAAAACATGCTACCAGATATGCGTGCGACCGCGCAGGTGCAACACCCGCCCCCACTCAGCCAAAATCCATTCGAACATGCGGTGACTAGCTCATTTCTGGACCCGAACGATCCGTATCATACTTTGGTATCCGGAGATCTAGGAAGCTTTCTCGATGATTTTGCTTCAGAACATGGTGCCAAGAAGCTACAAAACCAGCCACAGTTCATGGAGAACCTGGGATTCTCATCGAATGTCAGCATGGCCGACCTCTTAGCAGCAGATCCGAGCCGCTTCATGCCCACATCGTCTCAAGTTGGTATGAATAACAGCGAGGACTCTCCACAGTTTCCACTCAATGCATTCTATGAGGCTAGCTGAGAGGAGACTGTGTTTAAGCTCAGCCGTGTTGGTTTAGGACAGTGATAAGAGTCTTGGTTTCCTTCCTTACAGTCGAGATGTGCAGACGTAAATCATCTCAAGCGAAGGAAGTGAAGGTCCATACATGCCAAGGTCGACGCTCCTGACTAAAGGTGGAGTGAATTCTAAGTCTAACTGTGCATAAAGGCACTAATAAGGGTATCTAGATTGTTGTAAAGATCATTGAAAAGCAAAGCGCGATTTGTTTCTTCCAAGCTTTTACAAACGCGCAAGTTCAGGCTCCCTGACAAAGTGCTCAGGCCCTCCTTCATGCTCTGAGCGATCATTTGTGGCTGTATCAAGCGCCAAGTCGCATCGTATCTTGTTCCATGCAGCCCCAGCGCGTTCCGCCAACTCTTCCACTACAGTCTCGTCTGTCCTGTTCATAACGCGATTGAACAATTCCATGCTGACCCAGCCGTCAAACCCAATCTGCTTGATTATGGCATGTGTGACGTCCTTGACTGGCAAGTACGCGCCGCGTTTTGTCTCGCCGTAAAAGAGCCTGCAATTCCTGCTCCAGGACATGCGAGCTGGTTGCTCGGCATTGTAAAATGGGTGACCAGGAAGTAAGGGCTGTGTAAGGCGCTCAGCATCAACAATTTGAATGAAAAAAATCTTTTCCCTGTGCGGCTTGATGCGATCAACAAGTCGGCATATAGAGTCCCGCACTTCCTGCTCGGCCCCATATACCATGCCTGTTTCTGATGTTGGATCCGCGTATATCCTGCCCAGGATATTGAAGCTATCGAGGCAGATGCCGAAATTTGGTCGGTCGACTTGCGATACAATATCCCAGCATACTTCCCATTTGTCCACTACTGTGCCCCAACTCAGACTCTCGTATGCGAAACGGATCACTGGTGTCTGTTTCAGCCCCAGTTCCGCCACCTCCCGGAGATCACTGGCGATGAAATCGATGTCGGAAGAGAGTTGATCACGCGGGAGGAACGATGAAGGAACTTGTATCAAGTCTGTACCGAGAACATGTGCTAGCTTCATCCAAAGTTTCATCTCTTCGATCCGCTCGGCGTGTCTTTGGCGATCCAGAAGTCCTTCATAGTGCATGAATGGCTGAAGACATACAATCTCGAGACTTAAGGAGCAGCAGAGATCGCGGACTGAAGCAGCGCCTGCCAGTAAAGCAGCTGGTGAATCTGAACCAGCGTGATCGACCAGGTCCTCGTAGAAGAGCTCGATGCCTTCCAAGCCGTGTTTTGCGGCCATGGAGAGCTTGTGATTTAGACTATGGCCCGCATAGCACCGACCTAGCGACATGGAGGAGATGGCTGAGCGGCATGGCATGTTGACTATCGCGATGGGAGTTTGCGTGTGAAGAAGTGTGTTCAAGACGTGGTTTCTGCGACAAAATCGTTCCCATAAGTAGATTAAGCTGTAAGCATGAATAGCAATAAAGAGTGCATTCTCAATAAGAAATATCTATCAAACACCCGTCTTATCTAACCCCCATCCATCCCCAAGACCGTCCACAACCGCCTATCCACTCTTATCCACACCTCCATCTCCATCACCTCCCGCCTTATGCCGCATACCCTACATTTACCCTCCTACCACCCCACCTCTCTCACGCAGGAATAAGTCTGGAAAAGAACATCCAACTGCATCTTAAAACACGCTATGCCTTTCGTAACCGTGCAGTGCCGTCATGAAGCACTGACAAAGCACTGGCACACTCATGACGCTACCACTTTCCACGCTAAACCCAAGGGATAAGTCTTTACACCCTTGTTTGCCGCGATTTAACATGGGGAGCTCTGGCTGCCTTGGCAGCTCCGGGGCGATATGCGAGGTCGGCGGAGGCTGGGGTGGTGTGCGGGCTGGGTAATTTGGTTTCTGGGGGTTGGGGTTGGGATGGGGGGAGGACGGTCAAAAAGTACGAGGGAAAGCACTAGCACAATTTGGGTCAAAGACTTTTAAAACTATCGGTAGGTAGAAGAACTTTATCCGCTTCGATAACTGTGATAAGTGAAAAAGTACAATCGTCAATAGTCAGATTTTTCTGCAGTGATCGATGGGTGGTGTGGTGCCTATTACCCGATTTGGGGGGCAAGATAAAAAAAGACGAGGGAGAGCCCAAACGCAATCAGGGTCAGATACTTTTAAAATTATTGAAGGGTAGAATGACTTTATCCGCTTCGATAATTGCGACAAGAGAAAAAGTAAAATCACGATAAATCAGATTTTTCTGCAGACATCGATGGGTGGTGTTCATATTACCCGATTTGGGGTGGTCGATCAAAAAATGCGAGGGACAGTCCAGACGCAATTCGGATCGGATTCTTTCAAAACCATCGATAAATAGAAGTACTTTATGTGTTCCGTTAGCTGTGACAGTGAAAAGAATAAAAACATAAATAATCAGATTTTTCTGCGGACATCGATGGGTGGTGCATATTACCCGATTTGGGGATGACGATCAAAAATGGTGAGTGACCGCCCAAACGCAATTCTGATCTGATTCTTTCAAAATTATCGATAAATAGAAGCACTTTATCCGCTTCATTAATTGTAACAGCGATATAAGTCAGATCATAAATAATCAGATTTTTCTGCAGTTATCGATGGGTGGTGCACATTACCCGATTTGGCAACTGCGAATTTTGGGTGACGGGGAGGGTTGTAGACGCATGTGTATGTTCGGATACTTTCTCAGACCCTTATAGAGTAGTATTTTGTTACGTATAGTATAGGGATATGAATGTATGCGCTGCTGTGGTGGTCGGTGTTGTGGGTCACGTGACTGGCTGTACATGGGGAAGTGGACCAGTACTTTCGACCGTCGAGGCAGGGCTCCATATGACTTCAAACATTGGAGAGGGACTCATTTGAGGTTTCCAGGGATAGATAAGAGATGTGTTCAACGACCTTTACTATAACGACTATGAATCAAGTCTCGGAGGGTCAAGTCACCAAGTATGGGAAAGAAGACAGACAGTGCGTGAGTTCATATGGGTATCTCAATTTATAAGCTAAAGCAAAAGGTGGTACAGATACATGGCAGTCACAGAGTCATCAGCACCCAGTACTGCGTCTATCCCGGACCGGAGCCTGCAAGCGGCACTCAAGCCATTTCATTATGCTCGCCCTTCGCCTTCTCATCCCTAATAACAACATTTACATCCTCATTCTCCTTCAATCTCTCCAAAAGCAGCGGGTGCGCACGGTACGTAGGTCGCATATCGAAGAGCTCGTCCATGCGCTCCAGCGGGATACCTTTGGTCTCCGGGATAAGGAAGAAGCTGTTGAGTGTTAGTGAACTGTAATGACAACCGAGCCAGAGAATACAGAGAGTGAGGCTTACACAAAAGGAATCGATAGCAACATGAGGCAGGCAAAGAACATGTATACGCCATAACCCATGGTGCTAAACATCTGAGGCGTAAAGCGCGAGATGATGAAGTTCCAAAACCAGTTATTCGCCGCGGCGCACGCTTGGCCTAAACTGCGAGTCTGTAAAATGAGTCAGTAACTGAGCTGTCTTTTGGGATCTTTGTACATACCTGTTGCGAATACATTTCACTGTTGATGACCCACGGCGTTCCGTTCCATGAAGGTGTGTAAAACGCTGTCCAGAGGTAGAAGAAGAAAACCGCGCTAATTCCTCCTGAGGTTAGCTTGCCGTCCCTGCTTGGGTTGTTTGCTGGGTCGGCAATCTTGATGTATGCGGCAATGTACCACATGCAGAGGGATCCTCCCAGAGCGCCCAACATGAGGAGCTTGGTGCGGCCGAGGCGATCGATCAGGTATAGAAGCCAAAAAATCGTCAGGACTGTCTTCACGACGCCGAAGATGCCGGTGGTGAGGAAACCTTCGGTTACGCCGAGGGACTTGAAGACTGTGGGTGAGTAGTAGTTGATGGCGTTGATACCGGAGCCTGATTGATGTCAGTAAAAAGTTCTACATGTAGAGAAGACTCGTATCTCTCCTATATAGATGGAGTTGATGGAGTTACGTACCATTCTGCCATAGGAACAACATTCCTCCCAAGAACAGCCTGTACTGAACCTTGCGTTGCTTGAGCGCCGCGAACGGCTTCCAGAAACCAGGACCAACGGTAATCCTATCGTGCTCGACTTGGGCGTCTATAGCCTCAAGTTCCTCCATGATGTAGGGGTGGTCTTCAGGAAGATTTCGGATCCAGCACAGGTCCTTGAGCGCTTGTTCGCGTCTGCCCTTTGATAAGCACCAACGCGGCGACTCTCGCATCCAGACCGCGCCGATCAACAAGCATCCAGCGGGAATCAGCTGTACAGCAAAAGGAATGATCCATTGCTTGTGGGAGGGTGCCATGGTCTGCTCTAGTCCGTAATTGATCCAGAAACCCACAAGGCCTCCCACCTGCCAGCCCAACTCATAAATACCGACTAATCGTCCACGAACGGCTGGTGGTGAAAGTTCGGAGATGTAGATCGGAACCATGTTACTGCATCCACCTACACCAAGGCCTGCTAGGACACGCCCTCCGATAATCAAGCCGAGACCGCGGTCACCATTAGCACCAAGCATCATGCCAGCGCCTATGATGAACTAATCACAAAACACAATCAGTCCACGATATCGTAAAAATGTCCATCAAGATGACTCACGATCAAAGTCCAAAGAATCAGCGACTTCCTTCTCCCAATATAATGACTGGAAGCATACGCTCCAAACGCGCCAAAGAAAGCACCCGCCTGGTACACGGAGACAATATTCGCCTTTGTCAAGTTAAGATGTGCCTTGCTCATCTCCGCAAACTTGAATTCCTCTGCAAAAGACGGAAGAGCCAACGTCGTCCCAATAAAAGCACTGTCGTAACCGATCATACAAGCTGCCCACGATGCGACACTCGCCGCCGTATACACACGCCAATTGTACACAGCCTTTGGCGTAGGCCGATCCTCAACGAGGGTAAGAAGACCCATGGCGACCTTCTCAAAGCCCAATGACCACCTCAAACGGGGTAGTTAGGTAGGCAAGCACTGCGGAATTGGGTTTAAACAAAGGTGCTGAACCAAGTCGCGCACAACGTATCTCGTGGCGACGGAAAAAAGTGTAAGAAACAAAAAAAACGTTCAAAACAAGGTAGAAACGAAGATGAAATCGTACATCTATATACCAGCAGGCCCCCTCCCCGCTCTCGCACCCCCGTCTTCGAAAATGACTCCGCGAAAACGGAACGTGCTATTTTGCGGAGTATGTGGAGAAAAAGGACGTAAAGAAAAACGCCACAGAACCACCCCAGGGAGAGACACCAAAAACGGTCAAGCAGGATTCCCGCTACCAAGTCATTGGCACCATCGGCGAACATACTTGATGGGCTGCTGACAGGACTTGGCTGCTTTTCCCCGGAAGAATCCATGAACGCGCTCGTAGTGAACGTCCCCGGGACAAGCAAAGCAAGCGCACGTTGTGGCCAGGCTCCCCTAGCCCCAGACATTTTGAATTTTTACGACAGTGCAGGCCTCCTAGTGCACTCGTTAGGAGTGCGGGTACACTGCATTGGTGCGAAGGGCCCGGAAGCGCATTTATACGCGAGGCATGGTCGTTGACGATGGGGGTGCTGATTGGATGGATGGTTACTGGGTTAGTTTCTTCGATGACATCGGGCCGAGTCGCGTTGTTTGCATAATGCGCGATATGACTTTTTCCGGAGTTTTGGCGCGTGTGAGGGACGGGGAACGGGGGGAGGGGATTTTGGTGTGGAGTATGGTGCTGGGAGGATGATGATGGGTTAGGCTGATGTGGGGGACGCGGTGTTGTATACCGGCCCTGGGTCCATACTGGATTTCTCCAATTCCCATAATTTCTTGAGCAATACCTACCCGTACCATCCTATAATTGCGTTCCTTGTCCCTTTAAAAGCCCGATTGCCTGTTGCGCGACGACGGCACTAATCAGCAGCTGCCATTCTTCGCATATCACGTACTCCCCGTCTCTTCGAATATCCAACGACTTCAAACGAATACAGCGCCCTCCCAATTCCGCCATCGCAAGACCATCTTCGCCCAAACATCCAAAATGTCCAGTCCAACACCCCTCCCATCCCCGGACCCCAAGACCCGCCATGGCTACCTCTTCGGCCACCCAATAACCCACTCCATGTCGCCCCTCTTGCACGCAACTGTCTACGCCTCCCTCTCGCTCCCGTGGGCCCAACACCCCCTAGAGTCCCTTGACATCCCCCTCTTCCTACGTCTAATCCGCGACCCGCAATTCTACGGCGCCTCCATAACAATGCCGCACAAAGTAGCCATTTTACCGCACCTCGACGGGCTAACAGAGGAAGGCCGCGATGTTGGCGCTGTGAATACGCTGTTTATTGAGGAGGATGAAAAGGGCGGAAGGAGATATATGGGGACGAATACGGATGTTGTGGGGATTAGGGAGGCGTTTAGACAGAATGTGGAGAAGGGGTTGTATGAGGGGAGGGCGGCGATTGTGGTGGGTGGGGGTGGGGCGGCGAGGAGTGCGGTTTATGCGTTGAGGAAGTGGATGGGTGTTGGGGAGATTTATTTGGTGAGTTTACAATTTCTCCAAAAGCAGAAAGGAAGAGATGGCGGGGAGAAAGGCATATTTGCTGACAATGCGATAGATAAACAGAGACGCAGCAGAAGTCACAGCCGTAATAAACGAATGTACAACCCGCGGCTACGGCTCCTCGCTCCGCCACGTCGCCACCGTCGAAGAAGCCCAGAAACTAGAAGCCGTAGGCGCTATCGTAGCTTGCGTACCTAATTTCACACCGTCGACGCCTGCGGAGGTTGAGGCGAGACGAGTGCTGGAGTGTTTTCTGCAAAAAGAACACAAAGGTGCTTTGTTGGAGATGTGCTATCACCCGACGACATGGACGGAGATTGCAGAGATCAGTAAGAATGCGGGGTGGCAGGTTGTGTTGGGGACCGAGGCGTTAATATATCAGGGGCTGGAGCAGGATCGGTATTGGACAGGGAGGGAGGTTAAGGATTTACCGGTGGTGGAGGTTCAGGAGGCTATTGCGAAGAAGATGAATGAGGCGAAGTTGTAAAAAGAAATGAAAAATCAATCAGACATAGATTGTAACTTGGAAATGCAATGCATGGAAGTGCTATGATCCGGGGCGTGAGTAATCTAGATTGCGTACTCGTCGCCATACTTCCCTCACTGTCCTTTCTTGGCTCTGCCGTCCTGTTTCCGTCGCGGATGGTCCCGCTGGTCTGCATTCGCCTGTCAGCATACTTCTCAATCGTAATTCTCTTGCAAACCTGTACTCACCTAATCGCCAAATACAGTCGACTCCCCAACCTAGCCTCTTCAATATGCGCATTCTCCCAATCCACCGGCGGATTCGCAGTCGTAACCAAACCCCCAGCTTCTTGTAAAATCGCAATCCCAGCCGCAACATCCCATTCCCAGCAGCCACCCTCCCACCAGATATCAAACGCACCCATAGCCACATAAGCCAAATCCAGGGTCGCACTCCCCAAACTACGCACTCCATGTACCATCCCACCTCTCCCCTTGCGTCCCCCAATCTCAGCTGCCATATTCACAAAACTCTCAATCTTGCGATGCATATTGCCGTCCGGCACATCCCTCCTATCCTTCCCCCATTCACAGCTGAAGATACACCCACTGGGCGCCTTCTCCGGCATTGGTGGTATTGGGTTACGCATCAAGGGCAAGCGTTGTGTCTCGTTGAAGAACGCGCCGCGGCCAGCGCACGAAGAGAAGAACTGGTTGGTAAAAGGGGCGTAGATGACTCCGATGAGTGGTTTAGACTTATGGATAAAGGCGATGCTGACGCAGAACATGGGGAAAAGGTGGATATAGTTCACTGTTCCGTCGAGCGGGTCGACGCACCATGTAGGTGAGGTGTCGATGAGGTAGTCGCGTGAAGACCCTTTGCTGTAGGATTCTTCGCCCACGAACCTGGCTCAGTTAGCCACTATAGACCAGTTTCGCGGTATACTGACTGCGTACTTGTGTGAGGGGTACTTGTCCGCTATCTGATTCTTGATGAAAGCTTCTACATTCTCATCGGTTTCTGTAACTAGGTCGACAGCATTCTCCTTTTGCACATGCTCCTTCTCTTGCTTCATGTCGCTTCCGCCGTCGATTCTTATCTGCGCTGCGTCCATGAGCATCTTCCCCGCCGCCTTCCCCAATTGTACCGCAAACGCGTAGATTTCATCTAGCTCTTCTCTTGGAATGTCTGCCATGGTGTCGGCGTGTCAGTGTGTAAACAGAAGGTGGTTGCTTGGAGAGCCAAAACCCTATTATCTCCCACGCGCGACAGCATACTTCGCGTGGACCCTGCCGTCTGAAGCCGCATCGGCTAATCGCGGAGAAGGGTCCAGTTATCTGGTGGTAGTCAAGTGGGACGTCATTTTGTTTGATACAAGGAAGGAAGGCCGGTCATTGTGGTAAGGTGGTGAGGGGTAAGTACTTTTCCGGTTCCGAGAGTCATCGGAATGTCGGAAACAGCCAGATGCTTGCGATAACAATGTACTAGTAGTTGCTAAGCAGATGGCTACATCAATCAAATAAACAAAATTTGACTATTCGCAAAGCCCTAGAAAACAACAAGAACAATCAATCAAATCCAAATCTCACATATCTTACTCGAACCTAAACCCAACGTAACTTTGTCCTGCTCACCACCAACAATGCCACCATCCATTCTCCTCTTAAACGGCCCAAATCTTAACCTCCTCGGCACCCGCGAACCCAGAATCTACGGCTCCACCACCCTCTCTAGCCTCCTCACGACCCTCATCCAAAAATGCAAATCCCTCGCCCTCCCCCTCACGCTCCTCGACTTCCAATCAAACCACGAAGGCGCCCTCATCGATCGCATACACGCTGCACGCGGTAACGTAGACTTCATCGTCATCAACCCAGGTGCCTTTACACACACGAGCGTAGCGCTACGAGATGCGCTGGCGGGTGTGGAGATACCGTTTGTGGAGGTGCATATTAGTAATGTGCATAAGAGGGAAGAATTTAGGCATAGGAGCTTTTTGAGCGATAGGGCGGAGGCGGTGATATGTGGCTTGGGGGTGTATGGGTATGAGGCAGCGATTGAGTTTGCGGGGAGGTGGTTGAAAGAGAGGGGGGAGGTGAAGGCAAAGGCGAAGCTGTAGGAGTGGGGTTGGTCTTGCAGGAGAAGCAAGGGTTGCGAATCTCATTTATTTCAAGATCCAGTTGGTAGTCAGTCCAGTCGTGCTTCTTCTAGGCATACACGCTTGATGTTCGCAAAGGGCATCTCAGCGTACTTGACAGTTTGCTGCAGTGTAGTTTTAGCTCGTACTGTCTATTTTGATACTGTGGTGTAGTAACTTGTTATGTGTTCGGTGTCAGGTAATCAGCGCAAGGTTGAGTATTTTAGGATAACTACGCGTAGAGGAGCTCAACAGACAATTATATACTATTCGTAATACCACCGTTTATTGTTTGGATACCTTCTTTCTCTCTATTCTCTACCGATTGCGGGTCGGCAGCCTCTCTTCTAACTATTGAGACTATCCCTCTACTACAATACAATGCACTGATTTTCAACTCAACGTTCATAGCATCATTCACACGGAAAATTATACTTTAACTCTCAAGAATCTCGTGCCTCGCCTCAAGATACGTCTGTGCCGCCGTCAGGATCGGCAACAGCAGCATAACCACACTCAACATTTGTCCAAACCCCCATACATTCTCCTCCTTGCTCTGCATCCCGCAGAACCTCTTCTCATCCTTAGGTTTTACAAACTTCTGCGTAAGCACCAATACAGCGGATATATTTGCAAGTAGATTTTGCACAACGAAGGCAACGCTGGGAGTGAGAAAAAGAAGACATATAAGTCGCCGTGCAAGCTTAGCCGGATACAAGTACAATCTGCTAATTCCGTTGTCTGCTTTCTCGGGATATGTGACACTGCGGATGAGATGTCGTATGCGGTATCCCCTGGAAGACGAGGATGGCAGTGAAGAAGGAGAGCCTCGTCGGCGGTCATTAGGATCATGCAAGATGCATACCAGCGCCGTGGAAACCCCAATGAATATGAGCAGTAGCAGTGTCAGAAAGACATATTTTTGAAAATGACTCCCCGGCCCCGTACCCTCACCCTCATCGTCTGTGATGAGTACCGGTGGCATGATGATTGTCGCCAACATGCTGGCAAGCAAGAAAACCGCGAAGAGTATAACGAGGCCAATCCGGATTTTGGCTATGAATCTGTATTTGCGGAAGTATTTGCGGAGTGTAATAAGCGCGGCAAGGTGAGATGAGGATGATAACGCGCAGATATAGAGGATGAGGACAAAACGTGCGGATCGGACGCGGAATGTTGCTTGCGCGACCTGCAACCTTGTGTCAGCCTACTTGAATAGCGAGGATGGAAGTCGGAAAGTAAAGAGACTTTGATCCATCCAGTCAGCAAAACAGCATAGCCAGTCACAAGCTGCTGGTCTCCAAAGCCGATGATGAGAGGATCGAGGAACGGACGCCAGGCGTAGTGTTTCTTCCATTGGTTTTCAACAAAGTGCTCGCGGAGGTATGTGAGCGGTGCGCGAGGGTTGAAGTGGCCTTTTGAATCAAAGGCTTGGTCAAGGAGCATGGCGAGGATCGAGGCGAAAGTTGTCATAAAGCTGGCGATAAGGAAGGATAGAACGACCTAAGAATTCTTGTTAGCTGGATAATTGAGTCATGCAGTTTCCTAAGCGTACACCGATGCCCGCGATGTCTGGTTCTGCTCCGTTGGCGCAATCTCCATCCAGTGAGGCGATGCTGTCAAATGCAACCCATGGTAGTGCCATAAATTATCCAGAGTCCACGGTGGTATAGTGGTCAAAATAATGTTTAGCAGGTAAGACTGAGATTAAATTTTGTCGTATATGCCCTGATCAGGCATCGTCGAAATTCTCAGGGCGCTGAAGGATATAGGTAGGTAAGCTGTGTAGGAGAGACTAGGACAACAAGAAGATTAGATGAGTGGGTTGTGTGCCCAGGTGAGGTGTGCAGGCGCATGGGACTAGCATGCATAAGTGGATCACCAACGTTGTAGGCCTTCAGGAAGGACCGTAAGGGGAAAGAACCACTACCGAAACTGTTCAACAGCACATCGATTGAACACTACATTTTACAGGCACTACAGCATAACACGCGATGCTACCTATCCCGACAACTCTAAATCCACATCCCGGGTATCAAACACACCCCCAGTCCTCACAGCCCCCTACTCTTCGCCTTTATCTTCTTCGCCAACTTCCTAACATCATCCTCCCCCTCGCCAACATCCTTCTTACTCTTCTTCGTCTCCCTCTCCACCTCAACTTCCTCACCCTCCTTCCCCTGCTTCCTCTTCTTACGTCCCTCTTCAAGCAGCGCCTTCATAGCGGCGGTTTCCTTGAACCTCGGATTCGTCGGATCAATAGCAAACTCATGACTTTCATACAACTTAGCGAAACGCGGATCACTCGTGTCGACCTTGAAGTCGTCATCGATGATTGTTGCACTCTTCTTTGCCTTCTTGCCCTTCTTCTTGGCTTTTTCTGATTTCACGATCTCGTTCATGTTGAAGTGGCGGAGTTTGGAGTCGTCTTCGTCGGCCATTAGGAGTTCGAGGTTTGCGCGTTCGGCGGCGGCGGCTTGGTCTTGTTGGTCTTGCTCGGCCTTTTTCTTTGCTTTTTTGGATTTCTTTGACTCGGGCTTGGAGGCTTTGGCGGCTTCTTCGGGGTCTGAGGCGAAGAATGGGTCGTTGAATGGGTCATCGTCGTCGTTTGCATCTGCTGATGCTTCTGCCTCTTGCACAGCGGGCGCATCGGGGTCTCGGCCTGCCTTCTTCGCCTGCCATCTCTCCTTACGCCTCGCCTTCCTTTCTCTTTCCTTTCGGATATATCGCTCCATTGTTGTCTCTTGGAGGGGTATCTCATTCTCAAACACATCACCATTGCCAGCTTCGTTGGATAGGCCTCCGGTAAAGGTGATTTGCATCTCACTATCCGGCTTGGGAAAGTCGCGGTCTCGTTTCGCGGATGATTTCTTCTTTGTCTTGGAGGATTTTCCGGAAGACTCTAGTCCTAGAGCTGCACGGAGACTTGCTGCCTTGTCTTTCTTCGCTGCCTCCTCCTCGTCTTCGGAGGAAGAATTGTCCGAGCCTAGATATGCCTGCAGCTCGTTCTCATCTATCTCCTTGCGTGAGAATGCGCGCTTCTGGACTTCCTTTCGCGTCGCATCGTCGGCGTCCCAGGTCAGCTTGACCTTTGAGTGGGTGAGCGCGTCTGTGGAGAACTCATTCGGCTTGTAACCGTCGGGTAGCTTTGCGCATTCGTCGTGGGGATCTTGGTCAAAGGTCGTGCCGTCAGGAACAAATCGTAGGTCGAAGAAGTTCGCGCTGGTGAGGTACTCGCGACCGTCGAGATTGTCATAGATGGACTTGGCGACGTTTGCTGAGGAGCATGTGATGACGGCATAGTAGTATCGCAGTCGGTCGAGCTGGTAGGCTCGCAACTTGGTCGAGTCGAATTCTTCGCCAGTATCATCCCCTTGCAAGTCGGCCTTTGTTTGGTCCTCGTCGTCGTTTTCAGAATTGGACTCGTCGTCCATGGTGCTCATGTTGTTCTTGTCTTTGTTGGCCGTCGATGCGAAAATTTCCCTAGGCGGTCCTTCGATCTCTTCCCGCTGTAGACGCTCCATTCCAAACTCGCTCGGGTATATGACGACGTTCAGGATTCTCCCATCTGCCGGCACAAACGAGTTTGCCACGGCCAAGATGTCTGTTGCTCGTATGTTGTCCCAATCCATGTTCACGGCAGCCAGGCGCGCAGAAATATCGCCTGTGGGTACTTCGTTGTCGTCGCCCGCAAGTTCAGTCTGATCTTCAAGTTCGGCTCCGTCCTCTTCATCGCTGGAGCTTTCGTCCGATGATGACTCGAGTCCACCGTCTCTGATGGGATCAAAGCCCTGTTGTTCCACCCGCTTCATCTCCTTCAACACAGCCTTGTCGCGCTTCTTCCCCGAAGGACGCTCCAACTCTGCTTCGTCATCTTGTTCCTGGTCCTCATCGCTGTCTACCTCGTACAACCTCTCAATGGCCTTCTTGCCTGCCTCTTTGGAGATCTTGCGGCCATACTTGTCGACTGTGGCCTTGTTGTAGAAGTCTGGATCGCTTTTTAACCGCGAAAATCGAGGATCGAGTTTGGTCTTGGTGTGCTTCTTGGAGGGCAGACGAAATTTGGGATCAGTTTCGAAATTTGCGAATCGCGAGTCGCCTAGGATATGTTAGCGAGCTGGTCGCCTATGGAGTATACAATTGCGCAACTCACTAGCAGGAGCGCTAGACTTTGCGCCTTTCACTGGTATAGTTTGTCGCTTCGGAAGAGGCATTGTAGGGTTTTGATGCTTCGTAGATGGCGGGCGTGCTGCGGCGCGGAAACGAATTGGAAGCTGCGGAACTTTTTCTGCCGGGCGGTGATGAACCGGCGTTAACGCGCTCCCATTGGACACTAGCTCGGGAGTTTTGGCTAAGCAGGGATTAGGACGATGATCCGGGGAAGGCGCGTCACCTCTCCAGAGGGGAAGTGCATCACACGATCGGAGCTTGGGATCGCTGTCTTCCTCAACACTTTCCCCAGCTTCTCGTAGACCTTTTCTCTCTCATCTCATCTCATCTCATCTTCTCTACAATCTAATCACTCTAGCCCAACCAAACTCCAAACCCCAAACAAAGCTTCAGCCCAACACAATGCCATACTCCAGGCTTCTCACGTAAGTCGCGCAATGACCCAAGTGACTGAGAGCTCCCGTTCTAGCTATGCACTTGGCTGACATCAACACTGTACACAGCACCCGAAACATGACTCTGTTCTCTATAGCAGCACTAGGTACTGGCTACTTCACTATCAGGTCAAAGACACTTGCCGAGAAGCAGCAGGTACGACCTGCGGGTGACTACGCAGTTACGGTTGATAGGTCGGGTACGTTTCCCCATCATGTTCAAGCCGTTGGGCTTAGTACAAGGACCCTCCAACTACAACGCCCCATCACCCGGGTGACATAAATAACTTGACATACTAGTGCACAGGCACTGTATTCGCTAGATACGCGTGTTTGGTGCTCACCTACATTGTCAAGTATTTCATGTCACCTAGGTGCAACTACAAGACCATATCGCGTACCTAGCGCAACGTGGCTACCCTTTGCCCGACCCCATGTGCTGACTAAAGTGACAGGCGGCGGCATCTAACCGTGCAATTCACTTTCGCATCTTCTAAGCGACAGCCCGCGTCTCACGAATACGACAGGAACCTGGGGAATTTCAAAGCCGTATCGCACGTACCTAGACCTCAATTCAAAGGGGCAACCCTCGTGTCCATTGCTCTTTTTCGTACTGCCTCTTTCGAGTCGGATCTCCTGTCTGCAGTATTGCTGATTGTTCCGGGATTAACAACCGTACGAGATCAACATGCAGAAAGTCAATCACAATGTTAGCTCTCTACCCTAGCTTGCACCACCGGAACTTTTGTGATGCATGAACAAATTTCCCAACCCAGGCTCCTCACTCCAGCAGTGATGGTACCTGGACTCAAAACAACTATATATAGGGTACAACAACAATCCGCTCTAACATGGGCTGGCTCCATTTGCGTCAACATCTGGTCTGGTGTTCAAGGCTCTTCCTTACTCGGGCGATCCGCACCCGTTGCTCAGCCCCGATTGGCCGATCTGCCCGATGCTAAATATAGCCCGCTCAGCCTCCATCACAACTCGGAATGCAACGGCCGGTGCGGCTGGCGCACTTTGACGCTTGTCGGAACTGTCAAAATCAATGCTAATGCAAACCAACTACCAACGTCGAATGGGCAGGAGATATGCTTCATATTCAAGACCGGCCTTTCAGCTATCCAGCTCAGCCTCCCCAAGCTGTCCTGTCAGCTCACACGTCCCCGTATTGAGCCAATAGAGTTTCATGACATCAGCAATGCTTAGAGGGTATCTTAGAATACGGGATGTGGGACTCCCGCTCAGCGTTACGGTATGATTGTCGCTTATACAGGGTCCATCCGCCGGATGCCAAAACCGTGACTGGATGCCAAAGGCCCTATGACCCTGCCGGGAGATCCTCTGACCTTTGAATAGCCTTTCAGCAGTAGTCTTATACGAACTCCAACATCACCCGGCTCTTCGTGCCTTGCTGACCCATTCTCGTCTTTCATTTAATTATCCGTTCCATCATCGGGCTCTTAACTTTTCCACGCGCAACAGCTGACAGGATGGCATACCATAACGTTGAAGAACCAAGCAAACACAGGAGACAGCAACAACAAGAGACCAAAATGCTGCCTTTGGCAAACACGATAGCAGCCGCTACCCGCATTCGTCAACTTTTTGAAAGTAAAAAGCTTAGCTATGCCATCTTGGCAGGCCTAGAAATGCTTTGTTTAGGACATCAGCGCGAGATATCGGGTCTACATATCGCCTATGAAGACAAGGACTTGGATCGCATCAGAGCAAAACTTCAGGCAGATCGACGGTACGCCAGAGCTCTTCCTCGCAATGAACGTCGACTAACCGCAATAGCGTTCATATTCCTGACGGCATGAACTCTTTAATTCCGACAAAACTACTAGTTCAGACGGGTCCGGCATATCTAGACACGGGATGTACAAGTCCTGGAACTGTCGAGGTTTATTTGATACCCTCTGGTACGTCTTTCCCGAGTAACGGGCAAGGTTGTCTTTCTCATCACACATAGGCTCTTACGGAACCCCACGGAGCGGTACACTCGCGAATAATATCACACTATTGAGCCTCAGGTCCGATGGTATTTTGAAGACATACAAGGGACTTAACATGCTTTATCTTATGAAGTCAATGTTAGAGTACTGCACGGCCGCCGACTTGGCCTGGGAACCACGGAAGGATATTCTTTTCTTGTGTCAACACTATGGAGAGCAAGTCCAATCGGTCCGCAGTCAACTAGACGCGAACTTGATACTCAACACATTCTTACGCTCGCCATTCTTCAATCGACTATCTTTTGGGGATCAGCGCAGGTGCTATCAGATACTTCGAGCGCAAGAACCGCCGCCACTTGTCGCACAGATTCCTCCAGCAGGACAGCCAGACTTACCGAGACCGCGAGTCGATTCCCATAATGGACCTCCAACTGGTCTTGTGAACTCTTCACACGCTCAGAAGGCCTTGCCATCCAAGAAACACGCCACATACCACAGCTCCGAGCCTCTTGGGCCTGGCATAGTCCCCGTGATGCCCTCAAACGTTACAAGCTCAACTCAAGATTCTCGTAACCGATACCGGCGAGCAAGTACTCTGGGAAGAGAAGGTCAGCCCGGAAATAGCCCTCGATCTATAAGTATGCAGCACAAACAAGAAGAGCCAGTTTCGTCGAACAACCTCCAGCACTTTGCGCCACAAGCCATGGCAAATGGAAGGTCCAGCCAATATGGACCTGGTATGAGCCCTCAAGCTAATCAAGCCATGCGGTCCTCTTCCGTCGGTCACCCTGGATACCTTGCATCTCTTATCTCGCCACCACAAGTTCCTGCTATACCACTCTCATACAGCCAGCGACAACAACATATACAAGAAGCACAACAAAGACTATGCAGCGGACAAGTATTCCAACAGCCACCAATACAGAACATTCCTATCACAAACAACCCGCCACCACTCCAACCACGACACGCGCATCAAAGCCGGCCACAGACCTCTGGAAACCCTACACCAAGCACACAACTCACAGCCGCCAACCCATTTCAACCCAAACCCGACCCCAAGCGAAAAGACTCCGGCTCCGGCCTCCAACTCGTCGGTTCCCAAGGCCTTTGGGCGCCCTCCGCTTCCACCCCCACCACGCACGGCTTTCCACTCCCTCCCACCACCCCCAAAACAGCGGCAAACCTCACAACCGCACACGGCTTCCCCCTTCCTCCAAGCACAACAAAAACAACAGCAAACTCCACCCCAACAACCATATCCGAACTCCCCACCAAAAGCCCTCGACGCCTCCCCCGCCAAAACTCCTCCACCATCCTCGCCGAACTCTCCGCGAACATCGACGACGCCATAAAAACAGCCACCACACCACCCCTCTCGCACTCCCCACCATCTCACGTTCCATGTTACAAACATGCGGCATCTGGTTCCGTGGAGTTGCCTGCGAGTTTGAAGATTAGGTTTAGTACTTTACCTTCCGCTTCAGCCACGACTACTACAGAAAGCACGAGAAATGGCGATACATCAACATCAACAGCACCACTCCCCCTCCCCGGAACAAATGCAAGCCGCTACTCCCAAATCTTCTCCACGCCCTCGTCCACACCAGCACCTACACCAACACCAAACGTAGCAGACCTAATGAGATCTCTCGTCGTATCACCAGAGCCTACAACACCGCCACTCACACCAGCCCCACTTTCGGTATACAAAGCGTATCAACCACCGCCTTCACAGCCACCCACTAGAACAGAGTCTTGGGACATGTTAGATCCGGCTTCGGCATACTTGACTTCGGCAGAGTTGCCAATGTCACCGCCTGTGTCACCACCTGTCGAGGATGCTTGGATTGATGTGCTGGAGCTGGCCAGGGAATATCAAATGGAGATGCCGGGTTTTGAAGAGGGGTATGGGTCTGGGTCTGGTTGAGTGGAGGTGTCAGGGGGTATTGGGCTGTGAGCGAGAGGGGAGGAGTGGTGGCTGAGTGGGGGCGGGAGGGCGAGTAGGTGAATTGGATTAGGGGCGAGTAGGTGGGTGTTTGTTTCGGTGACAGACTGGCAGTGAAAAGGGAAAGAAAAAAAGGAGGAAGGAGAGAAAGTGGAGTTTTCCGTTTCGTTTGATTTGAGTTATGGGTGACAGACAGGCTGACAGGGCAGTGATGAAGTGTCAGGGACTGCATTTTTTCCGTTTCGTTTGATTTGATTTCTCCGCGACAGACACAGCCAGCACAGACAGATACCCAATATTTTCCTTTGTTCAAAGCACGCGTGAAACTTGTTCGTTATCTTATAAGTATACACTTGTATAACTTAATGTCATAATACCATAATACCCAAACAAACAGATTTGAAAACCAGAAACAACGTAGTACCACTAAAGAATAATGTTACGTTATAGTACTGTAATGCACAACCCGGTTGAACATACCATGATCGTTTCGGATCATCGTTATGCAACATAACGATGAGTCAAAGGATCATGGTATGTTCAACCGGGCTGCACTATACTATACTATGACTACGGAATTACGGAACTGACTACGACATGGAAGAGGGGTATTGTTACAAATAGCCCAATTCCATGATCCACTTCACTTCATGCCACATAACAAAACGACAGAACACAAATCCTGTCACACACAACCCTACAACGGCACTTCCTCCATCATCTGCATAGCGCCCTCCCTCCCCACCGTCAAAATAACATCCCCCAACGTCTTTGTCGAAAACCCCGCCTCACTATATCTAAAGTAGTAATCCCACTTGCGCTTAAACACTTCGGCGCCCTCATCATCCATGCCCTCACCCGCCTTCTCCTTGATAAGCTGCGGTTTAATAACATCCGCCCACTTATCCAGAAACTCCTGGCGCCAAAGCCGTAGCGCCTTCGCATAGTGAGGGCCAATATTCTCGATGCCATCGACGACGAGGGCGCCACCGGTGGCGGTTTGAATAGCAGCAACGAGTTCGGAGACGGCTGGTAAATGGCCGCCGGGGAAAATGTAGCGGCGGATGAAATCGTCGGATTTGGCGTAGGCTTCGTAGCGCGCGTCGGGCATGGTGATGCATTGGAAGCAGGCGATTCCACCGTCTTTCTTAAGCAGTCGGTCTATGCATTTGAAGTAGGTGACTAGGTATTCTTTGCCGACTGCTTCGAGCATTTCGATCGAGACGACCTTGTCAAAGGGGCCATCCGAGGGGACGGCGAGGCTGCGGTAGTCGCAAAGAAGGACGGAGATTTGAGAGGACATGCCGGCGGCGCGTATGCGCTCTTCGGCTAGTTCTTTTTGCTCAATCGAGAGTGTGAGCGAGGTTACTCGGCACCCGGTTCTTTGGACGGCGCGCATGGCGAAACTGCCCCATCCTGTGCCGATTTCTAGCACGTGATCTGTGCCTTTGATGTGTGTGTTGTCGATGAAGCGGTCGAGCTTTCGCATTTGGGCGTCGTAGAGGGTTTCGCTCGCCGAGTCGGGGTGGGATTTTGGTAGCCATACCGGACACGAGTAGGTCATGTCTTTGGAGAGGAAGGCGGCGAACATTTCGTTGGAGATGTCGTAATGTGCTTGGATGTTGAGGCGTGCGTTCTTGAGGTTGTTGCTGCCTCGTACTAGGCCCGCGAGGCCTGAGGAGATTGCGGATGTGAAGGTTGAGCCGTTGGAGAGGTAATTGCGGTTTAGAATGAAGAGCTGGTATTGTGAGCTTGTAATCTTGTCCCCTCAATTGTAAGTGCTCACCTCGAAGAACTTGGTCAGATCTGGCGTTGTGAACTCTCCTAGCATGTAGCTCTCTGCGAAACCCTGCGTTCAGTCAGCGATTGCAATTGACTGTTGTAAGCACAAGTTCAGACATACCATATCGGCGAAAAGCGCCAATCGCACCCAAACTTCTCATCGCGAACGTCTAGAAAGGCAATTGGGAGGCCTTCCTTGTCAGACCCAAATGCAGCGGAAGCTTTACTCGAGCCGCCCTCGAACAGCACGAGCTTTCCATGCTTCAAGTTTTGGAATTGCGAAAGTGTGCCATTCTTGCATAATGATACGAGGGGTGCCCAAGCTTGTGATGTAGCTGCGCTGAGTATTGAGCCTACAGCTCCGGTAACTGGGCTGTAAATTGCCATATTTGCGAAGAATCTCCCGTGAGAATCCAGGAATTGTCGCAAAGCTGAAATAAAGCTCTCTGGGGGAAGCTAGGTTGCTGAGTTACACACAGAAGTGATTGTGGAGGCGGGATAAAGTGATTTCGTGTCGCAATGGCTCGGAAACTGATCAATGCAGAAGAAGCTTCGGGAATGCCAGCTGGTCGTAGAGAGCAGTTAGCGCATCAATTGATAAAAAGCAAGGTGGGTGAGGTATCATGAACGCGTCCAGAAGCAAAACCAGCGAGACAAATGAACAAAGGCCATGACACATGGCACCGGAGTTTATTTCAAAAGTCCAGCTAGATTGCCATCACATTGCCCCGACTTGCCGAAGACCGATGCGGTGCACCTAGTTGCGCCGTCTCAAAGCCACGGGTGTTGCATTCTGTCCGAGGTGCAGCAGCAGCGATTAAACTTTGCCATATTGAGTGATCTATGACGCCGTCGATCCGCCTAAACATCGCGAGCCGTGGTAAACTGTCCATACAATGCTCGCGAGTCGGCACTCGTGGATGCCGCACAAAGCGTGCCCGCTCTTGGGTGGTCGTATCAATGCCCGTTTCTGGCATCCCAAACACTTCGCCACTTGTCTGAGACGTGAAGTATGGTGGGTGACGCAGAGCCGCATTCCAGGGTCCACAATATTATCCTCCGCATGCTTTGGTGAGGGGTAAGTTATGCAAGGGCACAACTATTGTGTTCCAGGCATCCTGGCTCGGCCTATACGACATAGCCTTGCAAGCTTCGCGATTGTGAATCTAGATGGCGTCCATATCGACTTTTGGGTGCCTTTTGCGCCGTTGCCGCAAGCTACAATGTGATGGAATGTGATCGGTCATTTGTCGGCAGCGGAGGTGCTCGTTTCCAGCTACGGAGTTCCGTCGTGTGGACACTATAGCAACAATAGCAAGTAGGGCGAAGAATGGTGATGAGGGAGGGAAACCGGGGTACAGGTTGGCTTTAAGCGCTTGCTGTTGTGCAGTCACTGCCAACCTGTCGTCATCGTGAGCTTTCGAGCATCCCCAACAGGAAGGGCGGAGGGGCCCGTGCGCACGTGGGGACACGCTACGGCGCGTCGACGCGTGCACTGGAATTCACCTCTAGCAACAACTTGCCCGATTTGTAACGTGTCGCAAAGAGCAGTCAATCTGTGAATCTGTGTCGCACGTGACGAATACGACATCTCCCCGACCAACAAATCCGCTGTCCACCAAAAGAATTCCCAGCTCAACACCACGCTGTCTACAAGCGCTCAGCAACCACCATGTTGTCCATCCAACCCTCGAAACCGCAAAAAGCCACTCCCAACCTTCTCCCCGTCCGCATAAACCACAATGGCCCTATAAACTCCACTCAACAATATTGGAAGCCAACCACCGACGAGAAAGGCACACAGCACGCCTACTTTCGTGGACGTCACCTCTACGGAAAGTCGATTCCGCTTCCTGAAAACTACACCGGCGCCGTCCTAAACATCACCGATAAGCAATTACCACAACAACGGGCGCAAGCACAGCCTTCGCATGACGAGGGTGAGGAAGGCGATGATGCTGAGCCTGAGGAGAGCATGCCTGTAGAGGTCAAGATTGCGGAACAAGTAGGCGAGTTCGATGAGGTAGTCGTATGGGGTCATGGAGGGGATGTAGATGGGAATAGGGATATATTTGTCAGAGGCATAAGCGAGTGGATTGAATTTGCAGAGAGCATGCATGCGGATGACGATGACGATGTAGAAATGGCAACGGAACAGGAAAGCAAAAAGACCAATTGAATTGGCTACACACTCCCCAGGGTGATTATTCGAGAGATAGGATGGATTCAAGGAGATACAGCTACAAAGTCAGAGCCAAACGCAAGCACCCTCCTTCCCATCACCACACCACCACAATCCCCGTACAAACACCTCGTCACAACACCTACTCCCACACCTGCCCCACATCCTCCCAAGCTCCACTCGGAACAACATGAGCCGCCACATCACTCATAACAAAAACCTCATGCAACGCCTTCCGATCCTTCACCGGCCCCATAATTCCCTTCACATCCGTCCACTCATCCTCCCTCCAATGTTCCACAATCCACGGCCTGCTGTACCAATTCCACGCCACCGCAATCCCTATAACAAGCTGCCTCAGCTTCGCCCTGTTATACTCGGCGCCGGCTGTCGCGTGGCAGATGATAGTGTTTGTCCAAGCTTTTTGGCCGCCGACAGAGATGAATTGCGTGTTTGAGAATGTTTCGCGCGCGCGGATTTGCAGGTTCATGCGCCAGTCGGTTGTGCGGTGGAAGGTTACGGTTACGAATTCTTTGGGGGTGCCGAAGAGGCGGGTGTGGAGGGATGTTAGGTCTGCGGCGAGTTTGCGCTTGTTGTAGGTTGGGACGCGGTAGCTGTTGTGGATTTCGTAGTGGGGCATTTTGGGATGGGAGGGATGGTGCGAGGTGTATAAATGGGCAGGGTGTGGAGGTGGTGATGGGGAGGGCTGCTGTGAGGCGCAGGTGGTAGTTTACTGCGAGGAGGCCTTGAGGGGCTTCGCACTTTTTCGGACAAGGATATCGCGACGTATAGGCGCAACAGAGAGAATTTCAGAATCGTTGTAGGAATTTCGAGATGCGTAGATTGTTGGATCAAGTCGTAGAGGGGCGCGCGACGCGATCAGGTGGTGGTCGTCCGACCCAAGCAGTAGTAGCAACCACCTTCACCTTCACCTTCCTTCCTACTCCCGCCCTCATCAGACCCTTCCATCTCTTGCCCTTCTCGCCATCGCCAGCCCCTTTTCTCTCGCACGCAAACACCACATCCCCCCTTCCCTCTCACCCAGGCCTCACATGCACCCTTTCCCCCCACCCATCCCGAATCCTATCCAACACACCCATCACCACCACAAGGCTGAAAAACAACCCAAATACCCGGTTTAAACCTCGCCGCACGCACCCCGCACGCATCCCTAGTCGCCACATGGGCGGGCGATCATCATATCTTAAGTATATATCATGATCCTTACTTTTCCTTTATCCCGGGCGGGCGCGGCGAACTCAACTCTGGGTTCAAAACATCCCGCGCGCACCACACGTTCCCGGTTCATTTCAAGGCGAAACACTCAACGGCGCGGGCTTTGCGCAATACATTAAGCCCCCAGATTAATACGATCCGATGTTACCAGACTCAGGTTTGGGGCCCAAGGTGGAGTATTATGATGCGAACGGGATGTGCGTGCGGGGATGCGATGGATGGCGTGGGTTAGGGCGGACGCACGGATGTGTGGTTTGCGACTGCGACGGAGTGGTGTGATGGGCTTATGGGGATTTTCACATGCTTTTTTGGGAGTTATTTGGGCCGTGATCTTTGGGGTTGTTGTTCGTGATATATTCGTTGCATCTATGTGTATGCCTTCATCGACGACCGTGTATCCTCACATCAGCGCTCCCATGCAACACTCAGAGCTTCGACTCGTTTTCGCCCTCGCCCTTCATGCCAGTGTCTGAGAAATCCACGAAACTCTCTTCGCCGTTGAAATGCCTGAATGGTCCACTCGTTAGTCACATGACTCCCGGATGGTATGCGTTCCTCGCAAGTCGGCAAGGGTGGAGTGGGATTCGGTATTGTGAGGTATGACGTATCCCACCAAATGGATACAAAGGAGCTCCGACATAGTACTGCATCCACAGTACGTAGTAGGCCCCGAGTTTGTACAGTCCTTCCTCATGCGGGAAGAACCTGCACACCACGCCACGCGGGATCACACCAACGCCCGTGCAATGACCACATAACAGCAAAGGAAATTTGCACTCACCATCCTCTCTCGGCGCCTCCCGAAAGATAAGAAGTCTCAGAGTTTAGCACACACTCCCAGTTGCCCGCCACACCCTTTTCGGGATCCGCCGAACGCCTAACAAACTTGGATAGCCCCGCCGTGTAACAGTGGAAGTCCTCTTCATCAGGGTTCTGTGGCATCTGTCCCGTTAGCACACGACCGGCTGCTATGATAGTGGCGGCATGCGAGCACAGCAGAACGCTCTTCGGCTGCTCCGGGTCCTTGTCGAGGGTGGCAACGATATGGTCCAGTGCCTTCCTCACACGCTCATGGAGTTCGACAATCATCTCTCCTTTCGACGCAGGCAGATGAACAGACTCATACTCCAGATCCAGATTCTGAAAGTGCGGAGTCAAGAGTTCGAGATGGGGTGGTGTAGGATGGGTAAAATGGGCGCGGCCGAAGAATTCGCTATTGTGTGTTGGTCATATCAGCACAAATTTGCTCACCCCCTTATTTCACATGTCACTGGCCAAACATACCCGATCCCACGATCGATCCTGATCAGCCCGTTTGCCTTGCCCTGCTCAAATAGCTGGTCGCTAAACGGCTTTATCGTCTGGAGGCAGCGGTAGAACGGACTCGAGTAGATGCGATCCACAGCCGGCTCAACATGGCTCAGATACTCGGCCAATTCCTTGCTCTGATCCACGCCGTGGGATGTCAGCGGTGGGTCAGTGGGTATGCCAGTCGGTGTCTTCATTGAAGCCGTGTACACGCCTGTTTGAGGATCGACCGACCAGTTGGCGCGGAACTAGATGGCGCACATGAGCGGTTAGATTGCATGGTATTGTGATGAATGTGTGGTAAGTGGTGGAGATTTGCATGTGGCGGGAGGGGAAGCGGGAACGGGAGCATGTGAAGGCGCGGCTCGAAGATTGGTACTTTCATGCAATTTACATGGAGAAACTAGGATAGGTCCGGTGAAGATGGGTTAAACATAGTATGAGACAGATGGGTGGTTCGTAAAGTAGCTGCGGAATACGGAAGAGCCTTCCCCGGATTCTCTTGTGGGCGCAGCGGGTGGAGTAATGTGCAGCACATGGGTGGGTGTACAGACGGAGGTTGAGCTTCATACGTACTGCATGCCGGACAACGTAAATTACTTCGATCATGGCTGGTTTTGGCGTTTTTTAAGTTTCTTTGTGAGGCTGGTTATGCTTCGATGACGAGACTTCAAGCTGGAGGTTTACTCTACAGACTTACCTCGGCACATTTGCCTATTTGAGCGACTTTTGGTTTGGTACGCTGATTTCGCTTGAAAAATTCGTGTGGCGTACATTGTTCAGATATCAAAATGTGTTTGCAGCAGTTTGGTAAGGCCTTGGTTTAATTCAACAGAAGTTCGCAGCGGCTTCGTATCTTGATCGTGTTTCTGCAGTGTCGGCTCTAGCTGACAGTGACAAGTGCGCCGTTGCTCCCATGACAGCCGCGATTCACTCGGCTGCAGTGTAGTCTGTTTCACTAGTCGTTTACATGTCGTTTACGGATCGTCACCAGGAAAGACCATGCGTAACGATTGCGGCAATCTCAGCGTTTAGCATCTCGGTCGAACCTTCACCCCGACCCAGGCTCCGGTTACGCACCACTCACCGCAATCAGGTCTCATTCATCGGTGAAGGCTACTGACTCGGCCCTGTTCATGCAGCCTAGTATTTGACGTACTTACGTTAGCGGCCCAAAACTTCTCATGTATCATGTATCACTTCTGCAGGACGCAGGACACACATTCTGGTCGTGGTGCAAGAACGAGCCAGCTTTTGAACGGAGCGCAGCATGGAGATGCAAGTTGCAGTATGTCTGCCCAAGCGCGCTGTACGCATGGACGCTCGTTCATGTTTACGTCGCTGCTGGTTGGCCCAGATGTTGCTCACGCCACTGTCAATGCGACAATAGCAACGTGCTTGAACATGGGTGTCTGGATACAAGGGTTCTTAAGGTTTGCTCGGGAGTTTGAAGGTCCTAATAGACGGCATATTGGTGAAGGGTTCAACGGTGAAGAATCATGCCTGCCCATGTTTGTGATTGCACAATTGGCGCCCAATTTCTCAACGGCAAATGATTTTCCGCGTTCGCATAATGTCGCAAAGTGAGGCTTAGTAGGATCCATATTTGGTGACAAGATCGCTCGACTGCACTCGGTAGCGGTAGAATTTACGGAACGGAAGGTAGACCTAGAATGCGCTAAATACTGGGGATTCCTGAACCCTTTCAAACGCAACGTGGCTGCGTTAGCTAATTGCGGGGTTGGCGATAACATGACGACCGGGCGAGTGTATGCGGATCGAGCTGGGGGTACGACTATCGTAATATCTGGCGTCGGGAAGCTGCGGTACGTGAAGAGTCATGGAGATTCATCCGTCTGCACTGGAGCGAGCAAACCAATCGAGGCGGACTTGACAGTGGTAAGCACCTTGGTACTTCGTCAAACATTCCGCACGTGTTCAAAGCATTCGCGGACTTGCCGTCTTAGGATTGTGAAACACGATCCTGGTGAACTGCAAGCCATCGATGATCAACGCAGAGCCTGAACGACTTGCCGTTGCGCCGTAGTGTCATCCCAGACCGAACGTGAGACAGGGAAGTATAGCGCAAGGAAAGAGACCTGCTTCCCGCGCTTGGAGCTGATCAGCGCATCCAACAGCCTGCGCAAGGGAACTAAGTGCCAATCCGTCTCCATAGGGTTGGCGAGGTGAGGAAAACCGGGTCTATGCAAGTGCGCGGTGTGGTAGTAAGCTTCTAGCGCAATGAAAGAACTCCGGGCGGACCCGACATGCACCGTAGTTACACCGCTTGTCGGATCCGGAGCGAATGTCTTCTAGGTTTTGCCGTAGTTAGCGCTGGCGTGTACAATGTGTGCTTGGAGGTGCAGAGAAGGGCCTTGTGGATTTGTACAGAGCCGAGTATACCTACTGCTGCGTCAACGATACGCCCAGACAGCCATGGATGCGGCAGCTTGGTCAAACTTAGGCAACCAATACTGAATGCCCTGCCAACTTGTCCTTGTTGTGATCCGCGGAGCTCAACTACTAAAATGGAAAAGCAACCATGCTATATCTCAGGGCTTGACTACTAGCCCATGGGGTCTTGAAACCCCCAACGTACTGTAAACTGACATGCCCAGGATTAACGTCAACTTGGTCTACGCGAACGTGTTTCAAACTTACATATACACAGTCCTCGACCAAACGCTTGCTGGCTAGTCTAAGATAAGCCACTGTGACATGTACAGTATGCGAGAGACTATTCTCTAGTAAGTGCCGTCTGGCCTTGGAGGCAGTGGATGCCCAACACTCCCTAAAACAATTTCCTGCAGGATTACTGGGCATGATTCGTATGCAGGAACCGTGTGGCTGTCACGAGCGATATTGCCTTAGACGAATATGACGCGGCAGATAGCACCCCGGTCAGCCTGCCCTGGAAGCAGATTGTGCGAAGCTTTTAGATACGACTAAGAACAAAATTTTCCTGGTCTAAGAAAAGCGCAGCCAATCATCAGAGGGTTTAGGCGAAATACGCGGTGCATCCAACGCGCCCATCATGGGGTACGCTAGAAGCAGAATGCTTCTGGAAGCTCGACATGGCCTTCTACGTCCATTTCCGCGGCGGCTGACGGCGGCGCCATGCGTTGCCGTGATACGTAGCTGCCGTCGACCCCTCGACCCTAATTCCTGATTGAATATTTGTCTCATCTTTGCCAAATCTCACGTGTGCCTTGGTAGTTGGTTGAATGACACTGGCCCGATCGATTGGCTGTGCGTTGCTCACGTGTGCCGACCCATTGGCTATGAACCGCCGACTGTATCAATGCTCGGCGAGCGTTGCGACCCCTCACAACACCCATGGGTGGGCATCAAACGTAACGTGTGATCAACGCCAGGGCACATTGTGGGGTACTGCTGTCTTCGTGGCGACCGACTCTCGCCAATGGTCTCATGCAGGATAGCCACGCATCCCACATCAGAGCCACAGCTAAGGCGACGTGGGAATGTGCAAGAGCCTGAACAAAAGCATTTCTTCAGCATGACTACCGAAGAGGCTGGATGTGGGATGGCATTATCAGTCCCAGATGTATCGTGTGTTATACGTACGCGACGGGCCGATTGCTCAGACCAAGCTCGCTTCCCCCAAGGGTTCAAGCCTAATCAGTACCCGGCGCCAGGCCGGCTTCGGTGACGAATTCATATTACATTAAGTTACCCGAGCGGTATGCAATGAACAGGAAGAAGCAAAGCACTGGGGCAGGTAAGACCCGCGCTTAGAAGTACACGGGCTTGACCTAGGCTGTGGGTAGCCTCGCCAATATAGAGACTAAAGAGTAGAGGCTGACAGTGTCAAGAAATAGAGCATGCGCGATGACGATTGAAGATGACCAGAAATGCGGAGAATTTAGCAGGTTATTGTACATACAGGCAAGCGTCATACAGGCAAGCGTGTTGGAACTGTAATGAAAGGAACAAATATTACCGGCCGGATTGCCGGCGTACAAGGGTGGCGCAATCGAATGTGCCGGTTACTTTGGTGTGCTCTGCAATGGAAATCCATCTATTTCCGTACTGTTCTTGGTGTGTGTGGAGAACTTGCCCTTCTTGCCCAGCTTCGTCTCGGTGACCCATACGCGTAACGCGATGAGGTACCTGACGATGAGAAAGATGATAATGGCGGCGACCAAGATACCAAGAATGTATCCTGCCACGACACCAGACGAGTGTGTTTGAAGATCGAGGAAGGGGTACACATAGAATCCCTGAGTTGCGTGTGTGAGGTAGGCCAGACCAAGATAGAGGGCCAAAAGGAGGATGACTGGAATCAGATTCAACCAAGGCAGCCGCTCCGTGCGGGGGAATAGTATTTCAAAAAAGGCATATGCAGAGTTGAGGGCATGCTGGGAAGTGTTTGACCACAAGGCAAAGGTTGTAGGGAAACGACTCGCCAGAAGTCCCCAGTACACGACTGGTTTGTGTCAGTTCATAATTTTATGAAACGAAATGCAATTGTGTATTCAAACATATACACTACGTTATGTCGCAACTTACTGGTGACCAACCACGGATATACTACAATGGTGGAGTAAAACATGCTATGCGCAATCTGAAGCGCCTTTGGCCAGCGTGCCAAGAAGGGTTCTCCAGTAAGCCAGTAGCTACCAGTATGCGCAGCAGAGAAGGCATAGTAAAACGCAAGCCCCCAATATGTCAAGACAGTGAAGAAGGAGAAGGAATGCTGGGATTCGGCGGACCTGCCATGGGCCCCGTTCCATCCAAAGATGGTGAATAGAGTCGTGAAGGCGTAGAGCGCCAATAGCGCGCGTATACCGAAAAGGACGGCTGGTGGGAGGATCCAGGACGTTACAAAGCGCGTGGGATTGAAGGGTCCGGTGTATGGTGCCGTTATGCGTGGGCCAATAGCCATGTTGCGAATGCTTATTAGAATCCCTGTCGAATGACACGAGGTTTCTCCAGATGTCCGGAGCGCGCCGATAGCGAGTTCGTGTCCTTGATAGGAAGTGATGGGTGGATGACGCCAGTTGCTGACGGCGATGATGGGCGATGCTGGCGACGCTGGACGATGGCGATAGTGCAATGTGGTGTCGTGACTGCGACAAACTCTTTCTTTTGCCAATCTCGGAGGCTGAGGCTGAAAGAAGCACTTTGAGTCATGAAGCCGGCGCTAACGTCACGCTAGTGGTCCCTGCACGCCTACGATGCATGCGGCCTAGGCTCGGTGACAAAGAACCATCATGACCCGTGCCTTTGTAATGTTACGAAACTATCCCCGTCTAACATTCCAGCCTCTGGACCCGTCTCTGCCCCTCCCACGCCGCAGCCCTGGACGGGCGGCGAGGCATATTCTCGCATGCACCCCTACACTCCTGCAAACGCCGAGTCGCTAGGATGAGGCCTGCAGTGCGCTTTGGGCACTCGCACTGTCTCTTGCGCCTATGGCACATCCATCTGGTTTAAGACGAGGTGATGCCATCGTGCTCGAGCATCTTCTACCCAGAATGATCAAGCAACTAAACACCGGCTCATCCAATCTTCACATTGCCCAGTTTCGGTCATCACCTCTGCTTCGTGCCTAAGCCTATCATCATGACTGACATCAGAGTTTCTGTATGATATATCGCTCCATCTACCAACAAACACTGCTGACCAGTCGTAGCAAAAGGCTCAAAACCTTGCTCGCATTCGAGACAACCAACGTGAGTACAACCCTTTGTTCACATGCAACGCTTAGATCTCCGGTTGATCGCCCCCCCCCCCTCGCTTGTACAACGTGATGGACGCCGGAGAGCGGGGACACCTCGTGTCTTTCGCAGCCTCAGTTCAGTCTGCGATGCCATTCCAAGCATAAAGCCAGGAACCTCCATTCTCTAGTCTCTGCACCATCACTGACAACCCTTGACCAGGCCGCTCACGTGCTCGACGCAAGGAATACCTGCAAGAGCTCGAGGCAAAGTTGCGGAGCTACGAACAGATCGGCATTGAAGCCTCCTCGGAGATCCAGAGTGCAGCCAGGAAAGTTCTGGAGGAAAACAAGAAGCTCAGAGCGTTGCTCCATGAAAGAGGAGTGTCCGAGTCGGAAGTCGTCGCTGCACTAGGGGGCGCATCAGATCGGCACTACGACCACATCACTGCCGGACCAAGACTGAATGCCATGCTTGAACGCAGGATCGCCACCACCAACATGGTTTCCTCGACGAGCTCCCCCATGACTTCACACATCAGGGCGGCTTCCATGCCTCGACATATCCCCTCAGTCACGCCTATCGACGTCCCACAGCCCCGCCCAACCTCCTTCAGTTGCAACGACACGCCAAGCCCCGGGTCTATGTACTCAAATGTGAGCACTCCACCACCAGTATCCTACCCTACAGCCTTCTACACCACGCCCATGTCTCCGTCAGTCGCTGAGATCAAGTCGGAGGATTCCCACTATGACTACCCCTATGAGCGCCCTTATAACAACGCTTGGGCTTATACAAGCGACTATACCTACACTGCAGACCCAGCTTCCTACTACAACAGTTCGTCATGCATCGATGCTGCCAACATCATACGCACCATGCGATCGAACATGGTACCAGAGATGGAGGCCAGTTTGGAATGCCGTACGTCTGATCAGCACTGCTACATCAACAACACAGCTGTGTACGACATGGTGGACAAGTACACGCAGAAACATGCCACAATGTGAACTATGAGACTGGAGCCTTAGGATACAAGCAGGAAACCCACTTCGAGCAAAGCCGCCTTTGCGATCGCACAAGGGGTCGGGATTAGTTAGCGCGACATACAAGTCGCAAGGCGTGTCGCGGAAGACAAGGCACTGAGACGCCGCCAGAATTTACCAGATGAAAGGGCAGGCGCGTGCAGCGCTGTGCATACCTGTCCGATGGACAGATGCAGCGGACAATGTCGCGCCGAATAGACAGACCAACATCGAGACCATGTCTCTCGGCATATGCCGACAGTACGGCAACTTTCTTTCATGCTGTCATGACATTGCAACGAGTAAGACGATAGAAGATACGCATTCAATAGTGCGCATAATAGATATGCTCATTCACAATCAAAGTCCTCTTTGTTCGAGACTCCCGTATGATTCTACCCAAGTGCAAGCTAAACCCATTACAACGTAATTATGAAGTCTTCTGGTCTGCTTCAGATTTAGGTATTCACTACGGCATTCAGACGATTCATTTTGTACTTGGTTGTCATCAAAGGTTCATCAATAGACATCAGTCATGCTGTAAATATATATTTCTTCATTGAACAGGCTGCATGCATGTACACTTGCTATGATTGTGGGTGCTGTGTTGCTTCGCTCACCCACTAGGTTTCTTTGTTCTGCCTGCCAGCCAGGCCAGCACGCAATATGTAGACAAATCTGGCATTTCGCTATTGTCCTTGGAGAACAAAGAGCTGATACCCTGAGTACTGATTTACGATTTATATTCTCTGCGTTCCTTTCGAGCCTCAATCTCTGATCCTCCAACTTGTGGTCCTCCTGGCACACCTGCCTCACGAACTGGATCGCCCCACTTTGTTGCATCGCCAAGAAAACCAACATGTTGTCTCAAGGTAAAAAGGCCGCGAGTGGCAGTAATTCGGCTGGAAAGAAAGCAGCTCCAAAAATCCCCCAAGACGATGGCGAACTAGTCAGTGTCGACTGGGTCGTACCCAAACTCAAGACCAAAGCCAAGAACAAGCAGGGACAGCGTGACCATCGACACGTCACCGCATACGCTCGGACATTGTACAATCGGCCACCTGAAGGTCTCACATTTGGGCAAGAGCCTCTCGCGGATGCTCAGTTTCGGACGCCAATCTACCAAATAGCCAAATCCAAGGACTTGGCCGATCCCGATCTAAATCGATCTAGTGCATCATTGCGCGACTTGTTTAACGCGATCAAAGAAAGTAGTCTGAATGGGCCAGCTGATCCTTATCATATCAACAATCTCTGCGCACTTTTTGGCGAAGATGAAAACACTGCGCTGGTGCTTTCAAGAGCGGTAGGAGAAGATATCTTGGTGTTGGGCGAAGATCGAGAACTCGTAGTGTGAGTACCATTATCTAATCAATCCATGACATACTGACCCATGACAAGTAACGTGGGCCCAGAAACCGCGCGTATCCAACTCATCCGCCAAGAAACAGCTGATGAGAGCGAAAGACTGGGGTATTTCATTGAGTTACCGAGGGAGACTTCAGTCACCGTCAATGGCATCACGTATGCGAATTTTACTCTTTTGTCTGATACGCCTGGTCCGCCTTTTTACATTGGGCCTCTTGAAGGGTACGCAGTGATTGAGCTTCTATCGCAGCCCGTATTCTTCTTCAGAGATCAAGCGAGCTTAAAGCAGACAGGACCAAGCAGAGTTGTGCAGCCAGAGGAGCTAAATCGTCGCAACTAACATAGACGTGATAACGTTCCTGTAGAGGAGACTGAGGTGCGATGGCAATTAGTGGTTCCTGAGACCCCATCCGCAGACTTACCCGAACTCTTCGAAGATGAATTCACAGATAACTGACAGCCGATAGAGGATGTCTGCGCCTACATGAGCAGAAGTATTCCATCGGCCGAACAGATACCTCGGAATCTTGATCTGATTCCTAGAGTCGTTGCCGCAGTCAATTACCGACAGCCTAGAGAATCAGGCTTCAGTTTCTACTTGGAAAGTCATCATTTCAGGCCAGGAAGAACATCTATTTCATACCTCAATCGCAATGGTTCACACTATTTGGTCATTGCACGAATCGACTCAGGGAACCTGAGTGTCAGAATCATGGACCCGATGGTATGGAGGGCTACACCCGAAGTTAGAAATGACGTCTATTAAGCCGCGCGTCAACTGCTGGTGGAGGACGAATGGTGGCATCATGCATTTGAATCTCAGGAAGATATGGAGAGGGCGATGCCGGACTTTGCGGCATGGGTCCCATCTGCACAAGCCACAACAACCGAAGCAAGCTTCACATATACGGTTCTGAATGCATGGGCTTTAGCTATGGGTCTCACGCCTAATCCTGCTTTTACACCAAACCAACAGCAACATGAAGTATTTTTCATCCAAGCCCAGCGTCTCTTCGATCTAGCGCTCGAAGACGGTTTAAGGTGGCAATTGCTATTTGCCTTCCTCCGCTGTACCAAATTTGTAAGGCGGACAGAAGAAGATGGAGAAGATGGAAATATCAACCTTCCTACTGTAAGACAGCGCTTCGACCAGAGCAAACGAACTTATGAGGATCTGCTCCATCGCCAGGCTCAGGCCGACACTGCTGAAGAATTTGACCTAAACTTTGACGTAGAGTATCTTCCATTGGGCCTCGAGGAAGGTTTAGCGCACAACGCGGCGTTTGCATGGGATACTTTGACCGATGTCCAACGAGGTGAAATCGTTCACCTTGTTCGCGAAGGCCAGTGGAACCTACAGGATACTGCAGATCAACTGCGGGAGCGAATCGAGCAGCGCCGCACACCTCCGAATGTTGCAATTCCACCTGCTGGAACTACCAAGAAAACAACAGGTAACTCTACTGCCGGAACTGATGATACAACAACAAGTAACCCGCCTGAAACCCCGTGCGAAAACCTAAGAAAGAGATTACGTGAGCTGCTCACAACCGAACAGAGCGCGACAGCCCTGAGCAATTTCAGATACCGACGCTCAGAATCCGCCGAGCTTGGAAGATGGCTGCAAGGAGAAGAAGCTGACATGTGTGTCTATTCTGTTCTCATGGCCATCAATGACTTGCAGGGCTACAAGGAAGGTTTCTTTATCGCACCATACGATTCAATCCAGAACGCTGGCTTAGAAGCCGCCGCTCGAGGCATGCGTCCTGGTCGTCCCTTGATCGTGCCTTATGTATACGAACACCATATTGTTCTCTTGGTCATACAGTTAGAAGACGATTATACACCCACCATGTATGTTCTGGACTCTATGTACCATTATCACAATCGTCAACGGCACGACACAATATTTCAGAAACGCTTTGACCAGTCTCAGAAACACCGTCTGGTTCCGTCAACATTTCGGCGAGAGAAAGATAAATTTGCCAAAATCAGCAATATGGGTCAGAACTTCCCAGCAACCCACCACCAATGAATGCGGATACTACAGTATCCTCAACGCTTGGGGAATAGCACTAGGCTTAGAACTCAACCTAGAAGCAACAATTAGATGGACGGATGAATTCTTTAACACATTGCGAAATATTATGGATCTCGCTCGGGTCGGGCATGCAGATTGAAAACTCATCCACGATTTTCTTCGGTGTCATGGAAATGTCCGGGATGGTGTTGTTCCAAAAAACAGACAGTTTAAGAACACCCATAATACAGTAGACCAGGTTGAGGTGGATACGGACCTGGCAATGCTAAGAGATATGGACGCCTTATATTCGGATCTTGCTGCTCCGGGTGTGAACCGTGTCCCCAACCTTCAGGGGAACCGCCATACCTTAGCATTCCCTTCGGATACATGGACTCGGGATTCATGGTTGAATTACGTACCACTTCTTCAACGTTTGGGTCGGCTGGACGTTAATAGTTCAAATGGAGACCTAAAAAGTAACTGGAAAAAGCATTCGCTATATATATTCGACAGATATGACCGACCACAGGTACAAAATACGGCTTCAGCTAATGTACAGGCGTTCCGGACGTACATGACTGAGACGTATCCAAGGAACCACATTCAAGCTGCTCCTCAGGAATGGGCCGATGACGCAATTAGGTCCTAAATAAGGATGATGAAATCCGCCAGGGTAACAAGTGACTTATTTGAGGACCTTCGACCGACGGCGGAAAAGAGACCAAATGAGCCTCCTGACTCTGATACGGTGAATCTAGCCATTGTAGCAGTATTGGAAGCCATCGATACATTCCAACAACCACCAGACAATCAGAACCATAATTACGCTGGGGGTTTCACGTTAACCACCAGCACATTTATGGACTATAACTTGTATGACGGTTTTCTCGTCGACACACCTAGGCTTTCCCGCCCACGCAGGACCTGGCTCATGCCCCTCACAATGAGGACCCCCCCGCCGCCCGCAGCGGCCAATCCCACACCTTCCTTGCTATAGTCCAAGAAACTCCCCACCCGAACGCCGAACAGCCCGGTCAAATCAATACCTTCCTCCTCAACAGTTCACCAGCGGTCTTCCAGGGGCTATGCAAATACATCCAGCACCGCATTCGAACAAACGTCGAAAACATCGGATGTGTCGGCCGGGCAAGCCAGTCTCCATGCATTCACTTCTCACCAGTTAGCTCTCCTCTTATAGGACTAGCTCCTTCTGCTTAAGGGTTAGCCTCCTCTAGGCAGCACCCCGCACCATATAGCTAGCACTTCGCGGTTCTCAATACAACAACGATTTCGCCCACTCAGTTCCCCGATAGGATAGACCTTGCACCGCACCACCCCACAAGGCACCTCCGAACCACGATTCGGCTTCACTATAACCATCAACGTCGCTCCGCCACTCAGGGACGGCTGGCAATGCGGCTACCACACCGTCCTCAACGCCTGGATTGTAGCCCTCGGCCTGCACCCCAAACCCAAAAAGATCTTCGACGATCGACTTTACACCGAAATCTACACCATGATACAGTACTAGGTCAAAAGTTTCTTCCGCGCTAGCGCGCACCCCTCCCCATCAACATTCACCCACCCACCTTTGAAGCCACATAATCATGCCATCACAACGCCGAATTTTACAGGAGTTGGACCAAAATGTACGCAGGGGGCCCAACTTGACTGTGTCGCAGAGAAATCAGATTATTGGGATGCTGGCTGGTGGATGCACAGTACCTGAAGTTGCACTGGCATATGGCCGCACTGAGCGCTGCATCAGAGATCTGAGGAACAAGCACCGCCAGACTGGCAAAACAGAAGATAAACCTCGCTCTGGCAGACCTCCAATACTATCAATTCACTAGAAGAAAATCATATACCGGAAGGCCCGCGCTGCTCCAAAGATTGAGTACTCAGAGCTCGCCAAACTCGGGGCCTTTGTCACACTAGATGGCACCACTTTGAAGCCACCTAGTCGCAGTACACTTTACCGATGCCTTCAGAGACGTGGCCTAATTAATTCCCCGTGCAAAAGGCGTCCAAAACTCAACAGGGGCCATGCTCTTAAGCGTTTGCAGTTCTGCAGGCAGTACAGAAACTTTCGATGGGGTCAGCGCACGCTTAAGTTCTCAGATGAGTGCTTAATTCAGAAGGGCGCAGGCAACAACCAGGAGTAGTGCTTTCGTTGTCCTTGGGAGAAATGGAAGCCAGAGATGATTACTACCATTGGCACTAGGCGCAAGCCAGCCCAGATGGTGTGGGCGTCAGTGTGGCTGGATGAACGTGGTCAGCCAAGGAGGAGCAACCTTGTCATCATGGAGCGTGATCTACAGGCCAAAAAGAAGGGATATTCTAGTAAAAGTTACATAGAGGCCTTGACAAAAGGTCTCCTGCCTCATTACCGCCATTCTCAGCTATTTATGCAGGATAACGCTGCTATACACACCTCTCATGCTGTCAGATAATAGCACTGTTGAAGATGAGAGCGTACAGACGCTGGGTTAGACTAGCGCGACCCGGCATCTGAGAGAGCCAATCGGATCACAGGAAGGCTTGGCACCCCCTAGGTGTGCCCACAACCGTAGACAGAACCAACACACAATCAACAATCAATATCATCACCATTATTACCTATTTCATCAGTATTCCAGATGAGAGTGAATATCTGACACATGCAGTAAGAGCGTTCTTTCTTAGGCACCACATCAACACTATTGTCTAGCCACCTTATTCACCAGACCTCAATCCAATGGAGCACCTTTGGTGGCATCTCAAGAAGCGCATGTTTAAGTATTATCCCCAATACAACAACTATAGTATAGCTACAGAGGAGTGGGAAGGATTCTGTGAGGCTTTAAAGGAGTGCTGGCGTAGCATACCGGGGAAGCTCATCAAGACACTTATCATGTCAATGCCGCGCCGCCTTCAGGCCTGTAGACGTGCGCGAGGCTGGCAAACTAAATATTAATACTGTACACTTTATTTAGTTCAAAATTATTCAAAAGTATTGTGTTTTGGCTGAGTTATTCACTGCTAAAGTTTGGGCTGCAGATGTTAAAGTTGCGCTAAGCGAGCTCGGCGGAAGAAACTTTTGACAACCGACTGTACAAGTCGCGCTGGCCGGTATCCTCGACTGGCGCACCTTAGCCGTTTGAATCACAGTCCGCCGTCTATCACGTGAAAGACACTTTACAGATGTACCGCTGAACCGGCGCTTTTCCTTTACAGTGGCGCAGACGGATGAGCAGGATTTGTTGGATAGCATTGATAACACGTACCGGCGCCAAGATGCGGCGTTGCAAGACCTGACGGAGGAGGACGTGCCGTATGTGCGCAATAACATTTACAGCCCCTTTCCAGAGCCGAACGAAGGGCAAGGGCAAGGACAAGGGCAGGATAATGGCAAGGGTAAGGGTAAGGGGAGTTTGAATAGGGTGGTTGATGATGGGGATTCGGTGGGCTGGGCCAGGAGTGGGAAGAGGAAGAGGGGTTATGGCAGGTTGGAGGATTTGGGTAAGCCTTGGAAGAGGCAGAGGGTGAGGGGTGATGTCTTTGGTTTCCTTGATTTGTACTAATACCTGTGTTTCTGATTTCCTTTCGTGTTAGTTATGAGTGGGGTTTCTCTTTTAGGAGTTTAGGGGTTTACGGTAAGGAACGTTGATATTTAGTGTTGACTGTTGTATTGTATTTGTCTCATCTATGACTACTCGAACCCAAAGTCTACTTTCTGTATGAGTCCGGAGTGAGCGAGCTGACCGTGTGCGATGGTAAACATGGGGCTGCGCTTTAAAGCAATGATGAATGCCGTCTTACAGTTTATGTATACAAAGGGGCGGAAGCCACCACAACTTCAACACTACGAAGCATCCTGTGCAGAAGAGTCAGCACTCTGCGGTGACAGAAGGTTACAGGAGGCAGCATCCTGCAGTTTGGTGCTGCACTGCACTTCACTCCAATAGCCATGCGCTATTTTAAACCAAGTATAGCTGCCCAGAGAGGGATTTTTGCTGTCCAACGTTGCGCAAATCATACGCTGCTCAGCTGCAGACAAACTCTAG